GGAGTTTCAAATAGTTTAGTTGTACGTAACTGTTGTTTGACAGTTTGCGTTTATTTTGCGACCAAGGTTTGTTCTGAAAATCATTTTATTGTTTTCAAGATCGAATTAGATGAATACCATTAAGACTAATGCAAAAAGGGTGAGATGTTCCTTTAAAAAATAGAGTTGAGAGTTGATTTGCATTTTAAAAATATTTTATTGAATATTTTAGTTCTTTTTTTCAGGAAATAGTTTAATTAGACGACTGCACGGATGGAGTCGTGATTTAAGCGGTCACCTCGCCGCTTCCTACTGCGCTTAGTGTTGTGGGTTCGATCCCCACATGGGACAACATTTTGTTTGATCCACAAATGGTGGTTCTCTTTCTGGGTGTCGTTTGTGTCCGTTTCATGAATGTTAGTGAAGTCCCCAGCGACAAAGGATATATTCCTAGTGCGGGAATAGTCTTTATGTAAATAAAAAAGGAAAAAAATGCCTATTTGGAAAACTCGTCAGTCACTGTGTTAATAAGCGAATTTAAAAGAGTAATAGTTACAACACTACTAATACTACTCGCGATTATAACTGATAACTGGTTTATGACCGATTTGAACTATGAACGAATGCCTATGTTCAGATACTTCAGATGTTCACACAAAAGCGCGCGAAGGATCCTCGAGCCGCGTTTACGCACACACACTGCACACACAATCGAACACTTACTCGCGTGTATTAATAAGATATTCAAACATTTCATATTCTGATATCGAGGGGAACGGAAATGTCGACGGTGTCTATGATGGCTGTGTAAAAATTAGAATTTAAATATTTTAAAAGCCCTTAACATAAGGCACACGATCTTCATTGTGACACTTTTAAAGTGGTTTATTGATAACTAAAGGTATATTAGTTATTCAAGATAATCCATCATATTTTCGGCTTTTATGCTTTATGCTAGAAGAAAACATGCAGGTTCATCATGAGAAATATGGACGAATTTTCGTCGGTGCTGTCAGTTCATTAATAGTCCACTGCTGGACATAGGCCTCTGTTTACCATCATTAAAGTTTTTTTATTATTTTTCACATTTTTTCTTATTCTATTTTTTATGCTTTTTTCTTTGTTCATTTACAGTAGTTGTGATGAACCTGGGGATAGGCCTATGTCCATAAGTAGGCATCTTTCGGCTGAAATGATGATGATTGCTTTTCACTGCCTGTCCCTCTAGATAAAATAAAATAGTAAAAAAAATATTGTACACCAGGTTTTTGTTTACAAGAATACACAAATGGTGGGCTTTTCGATAAAATTCAATTTCTTACAACCTTTGGATGGACAAAAGGGCTGTAGATGAAAAAAAAAATTATACATCTTAAAAATACAAATTTATAACTTTTTATTCAGTCATTTTATGATCTATAATGTGTAATAACGTACCATTGCATGATCGCCGACGATTGTACGATACAAAATTCGTTTTCTCGCACAATTTTCATGCTAATCTTAGCACGGGAGCGCTGATTTGCGCGCCATGAAATATTTGTTACCTGCATTAGGAAGTGGTTTCAGTGAGTGAGGCTGAAATGTGTCATAATTTCACGTAAGAATATATGGCGATGAATATTCAATGAGCCCACTTTGTAATAACTGAGTGGCTGATTTTATGGAAGCCGAATTTACAATGAATAATGTTTTAATTTTCACTAGGCGATACTATATTCTAAGATGAATTTTGCTGCTCAAAGCTTAAGGTATGAATTTCAAATGTTGGTGTTGTTTTGTTTCTTTATTTACAAGTTATATCACTAGTTCGAGTTTCTTTATTTACAAGTTATATCACTAGTTCGAGTTTCAACACTACGTCAACATAACGAACTTAGACTAATCCTGTAAAGAAACATCGTAAGTGCCTGGAGGGAGTTAATCGATTATCACAACTTGTACGTACTTTAGTAGTCGTTCGTAGTTCGATTACATTTTTCTAGGACTTTGCCCTTAATCATTTCAGAGAAAAAAAAAGGGTGTATAGGAACAATTTTCCTTTCACTCATACTCTAATTTGGGATAAAAAATATATGATTCAGAGGTTGTGATATGTACGTACACTAACCCTATTTGTTTCAAAGGGAAGACATTATAAATTAAGACACAATTAGGATATAAATTATATCAAAATTAGCAGATATTACGTAACCTAACATCTATAAACCAATAATAAAAACAACAGCAACAATGAAAGAAGTTTTTCTGTATGAGAAGCCGCTTCCAATACTCTAATTTCCGCTACGAACCTATCTGAGATGGTGCCTTTTCAATTTTGCTTCTCGCTTGCCCTGCTTAAAGTGAGAGGATATTACATGCTGAAATTTAAATAAATATTCTTACATTAGGTACAGAATACGTTTCTACTCTATAATGGCACTCCATCCGTAATAACAACAACATTTGTTGCTGTTTTTAATAGTGATTTTCAATTATGTGAAACGTGAATTTTGAATAGTTAATGAATAAATCTGTAGTTTGAAATCTTTACGTACTGGGCTCTAAGTATATAAGAAGGCTCTGCTACTGAATAAATTACAATAAGATCAGAGATAGTTAAATTTTTTGGTGAGCGCAATCTATCCTGTTCTTTCCATACGTATTTCCTGTGGCGGCTACTAAACTACTCAATCCACCCGCAAAATTTTCATGCCTCCGTCTTTCCTGTACCGATATTGGTAGTCTTGCAAATGGTTTTAATAAAACGCGATCCGACAACACTCACCAGCTAAGCCCGGGTTATTTCAGCCCGCACTCTTGTCTGGGCTTCAAAGATTTAACAACATCAAAAATTCGCATGCACCGATACGGAAAATGCTTTATGACCGCTACTGGTTGGGTCGAAGGTCGTAAATTTCCCAGTTAACCCCGCGGCTGCCGGGCTCCGGGGATCGACGACTACATATTTCAGGATCACGGTTGGATTCTGACGATACCCCTTCATGTTTTGTGTGCGACGATACACTTGTCCATATACGATGCAAATTTAAACGTGATTCAAAAGGCGAAGCGATTTGTGGGTTTTAAAGTAAAGCCACTAATATTTTGTATCAGTCGTAATGAAATAGGTAATGTAAGTTAATGTTTTTTTTTTATTTCTATTCTATTTCTTTGAAGACACGGGTATTAAAGACCCGCATTGTGCAGACTATGATTTTAGTAGCACTTCATTATTAAGTATGGTGGTCAAGCCTATTGCCATCACTCGGGCAATTTAGGAAATTAGATATGGGATAATTGGAAGTATATTGCCTTCCTGGCAGGTGAGAAAGGACCATTACCTTAATGGTAGAAAAGAGATATTGCTTATGCGAATGGAGTTGCCGGAAAATCCGAACCCTATAAGCAAATAAGTCATACTCGTATATGTCGATATACATGATGATTGCAGAATCATAAAATTACCACATTTTAGTATTCGTCATATATCAATTACAAATTCCTCTTTCGAATTTAATGTATCTTGTTATTACTTGTCCATTTTGCTTTCTGAAGCGACAATAAATCGATAAAGTCAATCAAAAACCAACCACAAATTTTGAATCGTTTGACCTTAATCTTTTAAAAATTGCCTATCCCATAATGACATACATTAACTACCGAACAATGTTCAGCTATTATCACTAGGACCATTACGAAATGATACGTTTGCGTACAGTGAAGAAACACGCTTCTTTTGTGTATCTAAAGAAATCGTGTTCAACGACATTGTGGCACTTATTAACACAAAAATATTGCGTCATTTTAACCATATTTAGGTAATGTTTTCTGGTTTTGGTCATTTTTATTTGTAGAATGCGTGTAATAGACTACACAAAAGCAAGTATCTACATAAGTTGCAAGTTAATAGAGATACAAGAATATGGGTCTTATTTACGGGAATAACAGATTACAATTGTACAAGATGTATTTATTCAACGCGCCTTAATTTATCACTTATCCTTACCCGTAGCTTCGCTGAGTTTTAATATTGATTTTATTAATGAATTTTGCCTGGATAAGAAGTAATTTACGTGTGATTCTAGGCAAAAAACTATATCTGTGTCATTTTATCCAGATCGTTTTAACCAATCTGGCGTAATTGAGTTACAAACATACACTCTCACATAATTTCGCATTTATAACATTACTAGGATGTATAGAGACGATTTCCAATCATATATTTAAAGATTACATAGCGGTAAACTAAATGTAGGTGGTAGTTTTCTTTTAAATTAGATATAAACATTTATTTGACGTCATTATTCGCGGTTCGCTTTCGTCAATGATAGTTTTTTTTTTCATGACTGCATTTGCACATCACATCTTGTTATTTATTTGTATACAAGTGTGTATTGTATTGTGTTTTAATAAAAACTACTTATTTCAAGAAAATATTTAGGTAATTCTTATATTTTCGTATCCTAGTTTTATGCGTTTGTGGTCACTGCTCTGCTCTTTCTTAAGATTTTAATATCAAAAAGTCTAAGTATAGGCTATTTGAACGTTAGTCAAAACAAATAAACACACTCAAAAGCCAAACTATTTAGCTTTATTACATTTTGTAAAGATTGGGGCAGAATCTAATTGTAAGCTGGCAATATTACCGGACTCTGAACTTTTTTTAATTTTAAACTGACACGAGCGTAGTGAACTTTTATGAAAATATACATATATTCCTTTAGGTCTTTAAGTTAACTCTAATGTCGCCCTTCAAAACAACTGAAACCAGCGAAATAGCTTTATTGTGCTGGTGTGCGTGACCGGTACGTTTCACACTTGCTAAACGTCATGACATCAAGACAGTTGAAATATACACAGCAACTGTTGAAAGGAACTTAGCGACCAACAGTTGGACACTAATTTTTTTGCCGCTTTTTGCATCGTTGACTGTCAATCACCTTAACATATTCCATCAACCTTCAAACATCACCTTTAATTAGATATTTTCACTAAAGTTTTTTTTTCTATTGTCAACAGAACGCAAGTTATTCGTGGGCATGTTAAATAAGAAGCTGTCTGAGAACGACGTCCGCGCCCTTTTCGCTGGTCACGGCGCGATCGAGGAGTGCACGGTGCTGCGCGACGCCCAGGGACAGAGCAAGGGTTGCGCATTTGTTACGTTCGTGTCTAAACAGGCTGCAATCGCCGCCATCAAGGTAAACATGGTAAAATGACGTCACACTCATGTACTTAACTTTTTTACTAACGAAATTTAATACTGTGTATCACATTAAAAAGCTGTACCTGAAATTGGAAAAAACAGATATGTCATAACATTTCATTTAGTGTTTGATCGATTGAGTGGTATACCACATATCAATCTGTGTGGTGACGGATTAAGAATACGGAGTCATCTCGTAGTTGTCGTAATAGCCCACTAAGGAAGCAAAGTACGTAAGACAAGCACCGCAAAGAGAAACAAAACCTGACACAAACCCTATACCAATTCGTCTGGCCAGCGTGGTTTAGTAGGCCAAAACTTCCTTTCAGAGGAGAGGGCATGTACAGCAGTAGATAGTCTAATGGCTGGTTGATGATGATGATGCACATATCTTTAGGTAGTGCAACCGCGAGTCAGGATACGTACCTAAATGAATTGGCCTTAACATTATTTACCACAATATTTTATGTGATATTCAAATTATCGATCCGGACACGAATACTTTTTGTTCAGAAGGCGCATGTCTGTCAAGTTTACCGCGGCACGTTAATATTTTTTACACATACACACACCGTCATAGTCGTAGAATAGTGTCGGATCTGACATTTATTGAGCTTTACAGGCCATTTCAAATATTTTTTGGTTTTTTGACGTATCTTTTTTAGTTCAAAATCTGTTGTTATTAAAATTGGCATACAAGTGAATAGAATAGTTTGTTTTAAAATGCCATAAAAATAACAACTAATAACATAATTTTCTAAAAAAAATTCATGATTCATTTTACTTTGAGCGCCTATCAAACAAACACAGAACAATTTAAAATACAGATATTTTTTTTAATGTAGTACAATGTAGTATCCAATTATGGTATAAACGGAATTTCGTTATTCCGAAATTATTCTACGATCATGACGAGTCACATATTACAGCAAAACGAGAACAAAGGCGATGCAAATAAGTAAAATATATTAGAGTTCATACTCGAAAGCCGACAATTAAAGATGTACGTGTAATACATTTCGGTATCAATATCAAAATAAATTGTCACCTATAAAAAAGTTTACGGTGTCAAAGTAATACGTTCTAAATTTGAATTGGCAGACTGTATATCAATTGCTTCATTAACTTTTTCAATTTGCTTTCCTGTTTTATAAGCCACTTCAGCTTTTTATGACAAGAGCGCTAATAACTATCAAAATTTCAATAAATTGATGAATATTTTATTACCTAAGTCTTTTTTAAGAGATTAACTAAAATGTACTTAGACTCGTATTTGTTTTTAGCCATAAAGTTGATAAAAATCCATCTGTTTAAGAGACAAATTATAGTCAAAGTTGCCAAACCGAGTAGTTTTCAATACGTAGATTGATTTACTAAAAAAAGAGTGACTACGAGAATTAATTTAGTTTTATTTAATATAAAATTTTACTAGTGCTTCTTTCTCGGGGAACTATTAATATTTTTAGTGCAGTCTCTAATAAATCTTAAAAAAATTGATCAACCATTATGAATTATTGAATTCTGTCGGTCCCTATTTATACTTTTATTAAAAGTTATTAAAGAAGAAATTGTCAATAATGTCCTCTGTATTACAGGCGTTGCACCACAGTCAAACTATGGAAGGTTGTTCGGCACCTTTAGTCGTGAAATTCGCTGACACGCAAAAGGAGAAGGAACAGAAGAAACTACAAGCAATGCAGGCGAGTTTGTGGGGGCTGGCCGCGCCAATTGCGCCGGCGACGTACCTTGCGTCCGAGGCGGCGTTGTCGCCAGCAACGCAACTGCAACTGCTACAGCAACTTCAAGCTGTTGGATTGCAGCAGCAACTGTTGCAGGGACAGGGTTCAACGTTGCTTCAAGGTTAGCTTCAAACTTTCTGTATCGGCATGTTTAAAATAGGTACGATACCCACGAAACTGACGAAAATAGACTAAGTCAACACAATTATCTTTAGACGTTGTGCGATCAACGTACCTATTCCGCGCCATAAAATTTTCTCTTTAACCGTCTGTGGGACCAAATTGTAGTTGACAAATTATTGATATGTCGGCAGGAAAATACGAGTAACGAAGGGGCTCGTTGGCCCCATGTAACATAAACATATTTTTAGACTGTTGAAATTCATTCATTCAGTTTTTCAAAATTCTGACCATCGATGAAAAATATAGCTAATGTATACATGACCTCTAAGAAGCGTCGATCGTCGTCGTTATTTAAATTTCTCGTATACCTACATCGGTCGGTGACAACAAATTTATTCCTATATATAATGTATGTTTTTCTTAGAAATCCTCACATGAAATTAAAGGTCATGACGACTTGCAATATCATTGTTACGGAGTTTAAAACCAAAAGACTGCTCAGTAATCATTTGTTGTCTCAATCTGTATTGAATTCTATTGATGCTATTTTAAACAAAGTTGTGTTACCAAATCTTTGGAAATACAAAAACCACTATGGAAAATTCAGGCAATACTTTCAATTTTTAAAAAGATACTAAAGGTCTAAAATATTGCAGTGAATAATAAGACCTAAATACTTGTTATTTAGTGTAAATCGATAATTCTTACTCATTGATATTAAATCCTCATAACCCACCCGACAGTGTGGGAGCGCGGTTTACTCTAAAGGTAGAACACCAAACGAAAAACCAAACACCTTGAATTCAAAACATTTCATGTCTATCTATGTATCATTTTTAAATGATACCAACACACTATCAGTAATCTTCAAGCTAAGCCAGACTAGTGGGTACAACAAACAAATATTTTCAAAGTAAAAAAAGGCCGACATGAACTGCAAAAATGCGTTAATCAAGTGTCACATTGTTTAAATACTCTAAATGATTCATTTAGCAATTGTTCCATTGTTTTAATTTGCGTAATATTTGTTTTTATACATGGCTTCCTTGTAACCCACTTTTTCCTCATCCGTGGTTGATAACATTACTTTTATATTGATTAGTATTAACTATTAGCTAGGAAAAACGTGTTATTAGCCCTTATTGTTAGTATATATATATATATTAAGTTTAGAGATATTGATTTGAGTTTAACCTAAAAATTTTAAACCCTTTAATATTTTACATCCTTTAGTAGACATTGGTAGGAAAAATATTACCATTCCTAAAATTAATATTATTTAACTATGCAATTCATGTACCTATGGCAACACCTATCCCAATTCTTTTTATTTTGTGGTTTATTTTTATTTTATTTTTCCCGCTTAATTTTTGTTTACGCTTTCCTTTTCTTTTCTACATAGGTATTAACTATCAGGATATCGGTTTCAATGGTGCAGGCCTGAGCGGGAGCGCAGTAAGCGGGGTTGGGGGTGTTAACGCGATGGGGGGCGGAGCAGCTGAACAATTAGGAGGACTGCTTGCTCCCGTGTCTGTCCAAAACTTAGCTGCGCTGGCAGCGATGACGCAACCGGTGGTGACGCAGGCAGCGCAAATTCAGCAGGCAGCCGCGCCTCAGCAGGCCGCGCCGCCTTTGTGTAAGTTCACTTTTTGAAACACTTTACTTATAACTAAATGGAAAACACTTTAAATACTTCAAATACTTCAAATATTATGTTTCTTTTCGTAAAACAACAAACATACAGTACGCTATTTTACTCGTGTCCATTTAAAAGGCATGACATTTCTTAATAGTGGAATTTTTACTTAGTTCACAAATAATTAAATAAAAATATATTACATAATTTCAATCGAATTAATAAGCTAAGAAAAGCAGTCGAGGCCTACACCTATTTATGTAAAAAACACGCGTCCAAGGCTAACGCAATGCAAAGCTTATGTTTTTCTACACTATTGGAGTCCGACATTTTCCCTACCTCAGCATAGAATTTTGTGCCCAATAAATTCTCACTAATTGCTACACCTGTCCGAATCCTTAATTGGACCCACATATAAGATAAAACTAAAAACGAAAAAAAAACGTGTAACGATCTTTTTTGTCCGCAACTTTCCTATTTCAGGTTATGGGCTAAAATAAAAAAAAAGTAAATTAACGATGAACATTTTTCACACTTCAGGTCTTCTCGGGAAGACAAACATCACAGGTAAAAAAACTAAAATGGCATAAAAATGTATGTTTTTTGACATGGAATGACAATATAAGCTTCTTAGGTTGATGTGATAAATGAGACTGGCTGCCGACATCTTTAATTAAAAAGTTCATTTGCGACTGCCTGATGTAATTTTAGGAGAAAATTAAGAACAATGTTGTCATAGTATTACAGCTTTAGTAAGAAAAACCTAACTAGTAATGGTTATTACAAAATGTTAGTGTTACTTATGAGAAATCACAGGATTTGAGTAATTAATGAATTTGGTAATAAATTTAAACTTTAAAGCAAAGCAACTAGAGTTGTTAGTAAAAAAAGTTTATTGCTTTTTTCAGTTACGCAGCTGTATAGAACATAACCAGTAAATAAATTTAAGTCAATCAAACATACGACAATGTTCTACAGTAAATTATTTAGAAAACAAATTTAGAAAAGGGACTTATTGAATCGAATTACGCCATATTCACAAATTGAAAGTAAAGTCTGCCAATTAAAATTCACGAAGACTTACTAAACTTTATTTCTTTAATATACTTACCGATATGATATTTTCACAGGGTACTAATTAAAAGTATAACAAAGCAAATATAATTGACTTTTAAATACTTACAACAACAGTGTACTAATTGTTTAAAATACTGATAGATTTAGTTAATTAATATCGAAAATCGAATGTACAGTGACAACAATTTTATAATTTAGTAAAAATATTCTTAACAGTGCATTCTTAAGAACTTACAAATTCTTTGCATACAATCAATAACTATTATGCACATATTTTAGACAATACAACAGTGTCATAGGACATTTTTAATCCAATGACAATCTAGCATTAACGATGAACAATATATTTTATTGTTATATGTTGAATACCTTGAAGTCTGTTGTGTTATTAAATACAAATTGTTTACTTGAGATCCAAGGCTAGTCTAGTTCTAGAATAATAGCCACCGTGCATCGTTTATCACATGAACCTAAAGGCCTGGTATGATTTCTATGTTGGCATTGTACAGGTAGACTGGCCTGCCATTCGCTTGCTTGTGCTAGGTAACGTGACATTAACGTTTACACCATAAAAGTTTAAACTTAATGCAAGTTTCACGCCATCTTTTTTTTCTTTTAAAATAACTAAAGTGATAGCATGATACTTAAAGAAACTTGCTTCGTGTTATGAGGATAAACCGCAAGAAAGATGATTTCTACTGTTTTTTTTTTCTACGTGGTGTTTAGATGTAAACTTTAAATCGACAATTATTTTTATGATGACATTTTTAAAAATGGTTTATTTATAATTCGTTAAAATGTGCTATGTTTACGACTACGTTTGCTCTTATTGCATGACATTACATGTTTTTAATTTGAACCATAAAGCATTAAAATATTTTCATAAAAATGTAGTCGTGAATTACAGAGCGATTCGGTACATCCACCGTGCAATAACTTTTTTTAAAGCCGATGTTGACTGAGTTTATTCAGCCTTTGATGTTTATCATCAATATCTGTCGCAGTATATAAAATCTAACGAAATGAATCTCCTTATTATTTGCTACGTATAATACTTGTTAATATTTCGTACATAGTGGTAAATAATTGCGACCTAAAGAAGTTTCTATGTAACATTAACATTGTTGATTGTTTCCGCATGAACGTGCTAAAATTTTACTGTTTTTTTATGAGATATACGTGAGTGTTGTGTTATTTTGTTTTTTATTGTGTATTAAATATTTGTGTTCTATACTAATATTGTATGAATGACACTGTGACTATAGCATGCAGTGTTGTTGTAGTTTGAGAGCTTGTAATTTGTCGTTTGACAGTTTGGGAATTATGAGGAATACCGTTGCCATGTGTATAGCGTGTCTGTTTTTTTTTAAATTACAGAATGGTAGCAATTAACTCGTTTATAAACAAAGTAATATAATGATATGCAAAAAGTTTTGAAAGTTGTATTTAAACGTAAACGTTTGAAACCCTGTTTTTGACATTTACCGTAATCCTTTCTCAGTTAATGTTCAGAATAAATTTACCCTCTAACTTGGCGTTTGTTATAAGTAGCATTGAATCACCCATTACACTAACACGAACGCTTATCTCGAGTAATTTTACGTCGATTTAAATTATACGAGACATTGAGTGTAATTTTAGTCTTTTCCGTTTTACTCTGCTTTAGTCTTTGTAGTACATCTTTTGTATGCTTCTTGACAAATCTACACCTTCATACATCTTCATAACATTTGGTTTACCTACTTAAATTTTTAATACGATTTAATACCCCATCTTTCAAAGACGCCAAACACCCAAAAAAACATGTAACTTGGTATTTAATGGATTTAAAAACCTGATGCTATAATGTTGTAGGGTCGACAGCAGAGCCTCTAGGTTCTGCATACGCAGCGCAGTTCGGTACGGCGTTTGCGGCCGCGCCACTCGGCTCCGTGCTGGGCTCGGCCGCCGCCGCTGCTGCTGGTAAGCAGGTTGAAGGTATGTGTGTTTGTTATTTTTGAAAATTTGTAGCCTATCTTCCGTTACTACTCATTATCAATTGAACTACTTACGTTTGAATGTACACTGTTACAAGGCCTACCAATAAAAAATATTAGTTTGATTTTGACTGCCACTTAAGAATTTTGTATTTTCTCTTTACATTAAATGCATGGAAAAAAATTAAAAAAAATTACCCGTTTAAGCATGTTTGCTTTTAACAATAGCAAAACTTAGTGATTCTAATACGTAGGTAATCAATCATTCTGGTGGTGAACTTTTAGGTGTCAATATCTTCATCTGTGTAATTTTTCATTTGATGCACGTTTTCGACCACAACGGTATCTACTTGATAATCTAAACCTTTACTCTTTTTTAATTATCTATAGTGCAGACTAAGTTACAATACATAATACATAAAAAGAAATTCCTGTTAGTCCGTCCCATAGTTTTACGCGTCCACCAATTTGGATCACCATATTTTCTGGAGTTGCGCCAAACATTGGCTATTGGCCAATTTCCTGTTTCAACCTTTTTCTGTATTGTTTTTACTTAGGTACTTGCCTTTTTATTTCCTGATAAGTACTTAGTTACAGTACGCATGCCAGTTCTGCTTCTAATATTCTCGTATTTTACAACTTTACTGGATTTTTCTTCCTTCAAACACTTAATTTGAAATATTACGGATCTTTTTATGTTTTAGAAGAGAGGTTGCCAAATCAGTGAGGCTGTTGCCAAGTGATTTGCTTTACTCAACGAAAAGCATTTTATTTTTAGATTATCTCACGACTTTCAAACAATATTGATACAAGTCGTTCACAAATATAGTCTCTAGACAACAACATTACTTACAATGATATTTTAACTTTTACAATAAAATATGTTTAATTCCGCAGGTCCTGAAGGTGGCAACCTGTTCATATATCACCTGCCGCAAGAGTTCACAGACACGGACCTCGCGTCTACGTTCCTGCCGTTCGGCCACGTGATATCGGCTAAAGTGTTCATAGACAAACAGACGAATCTATCTAAGTGCTTCGGCTTCGTCTCGTATGACAACGCTGCCTCCGCGCAGGCCGCGATACAAGCCATGAACGGCTTCCAAATAGGTACAAAGAGACTCAAAGTTCAATTGAAACGGTCTAAAGAACTGTCAAGACCATACTAGAAATATTCCAGAACTCGTTCCTAGTGAATTTACAAAAAAAAGAGTAAAAAAACTATGCAAAGAGGTTGTAAGATTCCGAACGTTTGTTGTGATGTATCCGGTGCACTTGAACTGAATAGTTTGGTAAGGTACGTTCGAAAACGGGAGTCCACGTGCACAGTTGTTAACTAAATAAGAATAAGGTTAAGGTTTGTGTCAAAGGATTTATCGTTTCCAAAGTATTCCCCAAATTGTTTATTATTATAATTTTTTTTTGTCCTAACATATAAGTTTTAGTCACATTAAGCATAAGTTCAGGAATCGATACAATTCGTAGACGCCAAAGAACCTGTAGTTTGAAGAAAATATTATTTCTACATTTGTGTTTCTGGCGAGGAATAATTTTTATTCATATACAAAGATGTATTTTCATTATCCAAAGGTTTTTTTCATGGTACCAAAGTACCGATAACCGATAAGTATTTGGTTTATACACCGTTACGTTCGTTAGAACAATAATTATTATTACTTATAATTTGTTACACGTATTTTTTTCTTTTATCATTATGTTACCAACTTGAAAGATAATTGTAAAATAATTAATGTGGCCATTGTCAGTTGCAGTCAGTCTTTTTCGTTTAAAATTAAGAGGTGTTTAGATTAACAAAGCGATCTCAAAGTGATCAGTGTATTTATTGTTTACATTACTTGTTGTCAGATAGTGTACTTAACATGTGAGGGCAATCGCTTGATAATTTCGCGATATGTCCGTCAAATTCTAACACAAATCGATATTTCAAATATTTTACTAGCAATTTGAAGTAAATAAGTTTAAGATAAAGTCTCATTTGATAACATTACAAGTTGTAATAAATCTCTTTTTGAGTTATTCGTGAAATAAGTTCAAGCAGATTAAGTTGCTAAAAAGTGAATTTTACACACACCTGCCTATCCATACAACAATTGCTCAAAACACGTGATATATTTGATATTAATATTTACACGGAACAAATAGGTACATCAGACAACAGCTTTTTTTAAATTAAATCACATCTTCAATGGTATATTAAAAATCCTACTGTTTGATTTAAAAAAATACTACCACACACACACACACGTTACATGGTAGAAATAACTGACGGAAATTACTCAAATGGTTATATTCAGTTACTTTGAGTAAATATTTACTTGTGAAATAAAACAGAATCTTCTTATTTTCTTGTATTGATAACATCGTAAAATATTTGAAATGTCCTCATAACTTATATATTTCTACTTCTCGTGCTTGTTTGTGTCTTTAAATGTAAACTTACTTTACCACAGTCAACATTCTTTTACAATTTTAACACATCTAACACTGGCCCTTTAGTCAAAAATTTTTGTTAGTATAAGTATTTAATTATTACCTATAGTAATATTTTCGTAAGTAAGTTTGGTATTTCATTCGTCTTCTTAATACGTTATATTTAAAAATACTGTTCATCACTATTTATCTAATAGTCTGGCACATTTTATTGTTTCGTTTTTAATTATTTTTGATGAATGTTTTTAAAAGGAAAAATACCGTGTTTGAATACTTAATATAAGGTTTACTTAAGAATGACGTTACTGATAGAAAATAAGAACTTTCCAAGATTCAAAGACAGGTGTCCCCGTAACCCAGGGTATGCTGAAGTAATAACCGTAATATCCCGGTATTTTTCCGTTAGACCAACCCGTGTGCGAAAACTTAACTTCTTATTATCTATAAAAAATAACTTAAGTATTAATTACAATTATTTCTTGAATATGACCACTTATTGTTATAAAAACGCTCAATATGGAAATATAAGAAAACTTGTAACTATCACTTGGGGAAAACTACATAGATTTATTTAATATATATTTTTTTCTTACGAAAATATTTAAGATTATATTATCGTTTTTAATTATATTTTGTTAATTACTTGTGCCAATGCGTTCATTTCGAAAAGCTACGTTCAATCTTATTTCTTTGAAACGATTTATTCACATACAATTAAAGATGTGCAAAGTCGGTCGGTTCTTGCATCAAGACATTATTGGCAAGAGAGCGAGATATAATCAGTATTATCTCATTTGAACAATAGACTACTCTTGTCACTAAGTTCAATCAAAATCATTCTTGCTTTGCGCATCACTAGAAATTTTTTTATCTAAAAGAACTGATGTAAAACAGCGCATCATTATTTTACTAACTTAATTAAATTTAGTTGAGTATTATTATTATATAAAAAAAAGTTTATCGAGATGGGTCTATGTTTAGTTTAATTATAGTCAAAGCTTTGATGTCTAATGAAAGACAATATCTAGACTGAATAAGTTTCCTTTTTAGATGTTACAGCGATACAATTTTTGTCTTGTGATTCCTTTAGTAAGTTCATTAGTCAACACTATATAAATAACCTTTTTTTCTTCGTCTTACAATGATTTACTTGTTGTTAAGGTAAATAAATTATTATAAAGGCATGTACGTATTGTTAAAAAGTGGACATTGGGAATAATAATAATAAAATGGAGCTGCGATCCTGGACACGACCACTCGTTTAGCCCCTAACAGGTACTTGTATATTATTTTTGGGTTGTATCTGTGGTGCGAGTCATGCGATGACGTCACATATCTTTTAACTATGTTTAGGTATGTAAACAATTAAATGTAATCCCATGGACCCTTACAACCCTATAAATGAGATCTAAGTACCTACGTGTGATCTAGATAGACGTCAAAAATATTGTGAATAGAATTTTTTACCTACAATTTTCTAGGTGTTTGACGGGTAACCTTATTGTTGCTGTTGCTTTGTTTTTAATTATCACCTAATGTTTCAAAATACGTGAAAGAAAAGACGTTTTCATTTTAAAAACATCTCCTTCTTCTTCTTCGTCATGTTCGAACCAATTACTGAAATAAAATATTTTGTATATTCATCCATTCACATCCATTTCTAATTTTTCTAGACACAAAGACTTACCCAATTATTTCAAAGGATTCGGACCCTTGTTCTTAGAAAAATATTTTTTAAATTGTTCCCGATAGTGATGTGAATCGTAACACAATTGGTTCGAAAGTCGATGTATCTTGTTGACATAAGTTAGTATATTGCCAAGAGCCTGCAATGTTACCGGAGAAATGCCATAAGCTTATTTTTCAAGCTCGAAAGCAAGCATTTATTAATGTCGCCTTGAATGCTTAAATTATTTACTTATTAAACATTATATAAAACATGCAAATATAAAAATAAGTCATGAATTTCTGAGAGTATTGACCAATGTATTCTTCCTGGAAATGAATTACAAAAATATCTTGTTAAATTTATACATACACCTATTTATTTATTCTACTTTCACCTATCTGAGTTTTGTAATACATTTTTTTGTGTAAACTTAAGCTATAATGCCCAGATTTATGTTCTCATCTAACTATGTATATGTAATATTTTCATCTTTTTAATTACGACTTACATTTCTAAACATTGACAAACGTTAGTTTTTTGTTTTTAATCTGTCTCCTAAATTAAGACCAGAGTTTAAAAAAGGAACAATGTCTACGAATTAAAATCTGTTTTTCGAATCTGGGTATTATAAGCAAATTATTATTTTAAATTTAACTACTTATTACAAGGCAAAGAAAGCTTGACAGAATTTATCGAGTCACGGTATACAAAAGCAGAAGCAAGAAAAATAAATTATTTTTACATTAGGCACCATCACTAGATATACAATTGGTATGAAAAATTATTAAAGAACTGTTTTATACAAACACCCGTTTTGTTGATATGAATGTAAATAAATGTCAAGTTAAAAAAAGGTTCTTGTTTTTTTTATCTCTTTCTTACCTTATAAATCTATACTAATATTATAAAGCTGAAGAGTTTGTTTGTTTGTTTGTTTGAACGCGCTAATCTCAGGAACTACTGGTCCGATTTGAAAAATTCTCTCAGTGTTAGATAGCCCATTTATCGAGGAAGGCTAAAGGCTATATATCATCACGCTAAGACCAATAGGAGCGGAGCACCAATGAAGAATGCTTCAAAAACAGAGAAAATTTATTACTATTGAGAGACGCAGGCGAAGTTGCGCGGGTCAGCTAGTATTACCTATATGAGTCGAATATTAACTATATTCGTAAATAATCAGCCAACTTGCATAGTTTTTAAAGTTGATTGTTTCAGTAATAAATGAAACAGCAAAAGATAAAACCCAGCGACAAAAACAAAAAAGGTTGTACAATAGTTCTACAGAAACATAGCTTAGCTGGCTTCCACTGACCATCTATGACAAACTACTAGTGAATTCCATATTTATTTATTTATTTATTTATTTCAGTTAGGAAAACCAACAGCTACAAAAATGAAATGGTCAGATTGATATGCTACATCAAGCCAATTACAGGTTTTCACGAATAGAATCATTGTAAATAACAGAGGTTCTGGAGCACTAACTAATACGACACTACACCTATACAACTATACAATAAATAATAATCGATCTAAAAATGTTACGATCTAAAAAATTTAAGGTTTAGCATACCGCGCACAACATTGCTTTTGGTATTAAAGGGATCAAGAGAGTATTCCTTGCACAATTTATTGAAATCTCCGCTCGCTCGCACAATATATGAATTTTTTCTATAGATTGAGGAAGAAATTGGAATAGAAATGGGTGGATTAAATCTAATCGACTTACGGGGGACATTAAAATTTAACTTTTGCAAAAGGCTAGGACAGTCAATCTCATTAGAAATAATTATCAAAAGAAAAGAACAATCAGCTAATCGGCGTCGATTTACAAGTGGCTGGATATGAAATTTCTTACACAGACCAATGTAATTGTTTGAGCTATAAGGAATATTTAAACGAAAACACAAGAGCCTCAGAAAACGTTTCTGTATGTTCTCAATGCGATCAATGTACTTATGATAGCAAGGGTTCCAAACTTGCGAGGCATACTCCAGGTGGCTCCTAACAAAAGTACAGTAGAGAATTTTAAGCGTCTTAGCTTTTACGAAACATTTGGCAATTCTCATTACAAACCCCAAAGCCTTGGAAGCTTTAGCAATAATTTGCTCAATATGCACATCGAACAGTAGCTTCGCGTCATGGTAAACACCAAGGTCACGTACCCCATCACATCTTGGCAATACTTGTCCCTTAAGTTCGTATGGTGCTAGTATTGGTGACCGTTTTCTACCAAACGTGACGACTGAGCATTTAACGGGGTTTAGTTCTAATTTATTTAATTGACAGTAGTGATCAAGTCGTGATAAGTCTGATTGAAGCGCCTGCACATCGTTTGCCGATGATATTGCAGAATAGATCTTCATATCATCAGCAAAACAGAGCAGATTAGAACTTTGGAAGCAGGAGTCGATGTCATTCACGTAAATCGTGAAAAGCAATGGACCCATTAAGGAACCCTGGGGCACGCCGCTGGGGATAGAAACCCAGCCAGAAATATAATTACTGACAACTACAGCCTGAGTCCGATTTTCAAGATAAGAGGAAAACCACCGAAGTAAGTCCCCCCTTATGCCACTGTTAAACAATTTTATTTTCAGTATGCTGTGATCTATTTTATCGAACGCTTTGCTATAGTCAGTATAAATAACATCGACCTGAGCACCATCATCCATGCCCTGCGTCACATAATCATTCAGTAGTACCAAGTTTGAAACGGTTGAACGTCCTCTTAAAAAACCGTGTTGTGATGGATTAAAAGTATTTTTAAGCGCCGCGTACACTTGATCGTAAACAACCTTTTCAAAGACTTTTGCCAAAACACATAATTTGGAAATGGGTCTATAAGTAACAATTTCAGTTTTTGGCCCTTTCTTGTGCACGGGTGTAACAAACGCAGACTTCCAAATCCGAGGAACAGCACAAATAGTAAGTGATTTCTTAAATAACAGCGATATCGGCAAAGCTACAGTTTTAGCACATTTTATTATAAATTTAGGTGATAGGTAATCAGGGCCGGCTGACTTCAATGGGTCAAGGCCACTCAGAATTTTAGTAATATACTCCAAATTAATTTCAATTGAATTAATATCACAAGATGTGTATGATGTACTTGCAGTACAGGTATTCATAGCAGTATCACTAACTGGATCAATGAAAGTGGAATGGAAATGTGAAGAGAACGCATTGCATATTTCATCAGCAGATGAGATCGATACGCCACCATAATTAAAGTAACTAGGTATTGAATTAGATTTAGAGCGTTGCTTTACAAAACTCCAAAAATACTTAGGATTCCTTTCAATAGATTCTTCAGTGGCAGCTAGGTAATTAGAGTAGCAGTCAGCCTCAAGTTTCTTCACCCTATCACGTAAAAGCCTAAACGTAGCCTTGCTAATATAGCCTTGTAATATAGCCTTGCGAGATGCCTGAAGCCCTCTTTTATCCGATCCTTCCATAAATTTAAATCCGGGTTATTAATATATTTCAACAGCATAACGGCAAGAAAAAATTAAAACATTTTTTTCAATGGTTTTGCTCCCAAACCTACTTTACACTATTCGATGGTGTCTACTACCCTATCGAATGGTGGTACAAACCAAATCTCCTGTTCCATTCCTATAAGAAACGTTCAACAGTCGGCATTCCCACTTATGTGATGAGAAATGAGAGCCACTGTAAACAAATTTAGTTCAAAATATATTACAGTAGCTAAATGCTGCAATATTTCTATTCTCGACGTTACTATAGTAAAAATATCATAGTCCCCATACACAGAATCCAACTCATCTTTGATTTGCGTAGGCGTATTGCCTTTCAAAAACAAATAGGTATTTCGATACTCGATTTTGTCCATTTTTATAAAAACACACATCAATTCACTCAAACGACTGTTACATAAGAAATGCGCGTCCAAAATGGCTGAAACTTTGACGAGTAACTGTCAACAGATTAACAACGAAATTCACTAGCTTTTATTCACGAGTGCTGCCATCTTCGTGTCGATGTCGGAAACTTTTCAGACTTTTCTTACGATGTAGTATTCTTTTTAATTCATTATTAATTATTAAAACCCATGTCATTGCATTTTGCTCGGAATTAGGTATGTATCGGATTTTAGAACGTAACAAAATTAAAACAACGTATATAATAAATTATCAATTTTATTATATCCTAATCATTGCCATACTTCTTAATAACTTTTTCTTTGAACAACTTCTCTGCTTCTTCTGAAGTCTCTTCTGGCGTATCATGATTCTCAAGAACTGACTTGACCGACTTAATAAGTCCGTTATCATCAGCTAAAGGTAAGATATCACATATAAGGGGGGACTCGACGCCCAGTATGTAGTGGCAGGTCCTTGGTTCGAGTAAGTAGAGGGAGACTTGAGCAGGGCTCGACGAATTCTCTAAGCATTTTAATTTCACTTCAGTTTGTCGAGGCTTGCCTGTTTTGTCGCATACGTCACCGCCAGCGTAGAAGTGAGAAACTGAAGTGCGATGTTCTGGAAATTTTAAAACTGCTTGATTCCACGAATGAGTAGATAAAATACTAAATTGAGCCTTCACACGCGGGGTAGAGGGCGCGGAGGTAGGACGAGAATGGGGACCGGGAGAGGTGCGGGCGGCGGGCCCTCCCTTTCTGCCGCGCTCTTGTTACCAGGTGAGGTCTCAATTAAACGGTTTATCTATAGTAGTTATATATATGTAACACAAATGATTGTGGAACAGGTACGAATTTTGTGAAGAAAAAAGGCAGATCAATTACTTACATCAATATCATCTCATAATAAAAATATTTTACCTATCGGTTTCGGTGCCTTCCCCTTGTTCTCCTTGATCCAGTCCAGATGTGTTTTTTCATCAAATTTGCCCAACATCAGGGTCGTCTTCTCGCCTCCCCGGTCGACGTGGTACTGGATCACGTGCTTCCCATAGCAGAACTCGTACTTCCACCAGCCGGTGCCCTAGAATATTAATTTTAAAATACCATACTAGAATATGCAGCTTGCTAGCCGGCTCTTATACTAGTTTTATGACGTTATGGCATAATAGTGCCAAATTCCATGTGTGTATAGGAAAACGAATTTCGAAAGGCGCACTGATTTTATACCAAAAAACCTCAGTCGTCGAAGGGCATCCTGCTGTATCAGTTTTCATGACTTTTACGTCCATTCTATGAACGTGTTAAGTAAATATATCTATGAATCTGCCACTGATCGCGAACACTACAAAAAAAGTCTGTAGTGGGTAATCACAGAACAAATGATCTTGTTCATTACACAATTTTTGGTGTTGGGTGGGAATCGAACTCACGATTTCCGACTCCGACTGTACTTACCTGGAGGAAATTCAACAGAGGTAGATTACAGTCTGGAATATCTGGAATAACACTTAGGATTTTATCACAGAAAAAATGGTTGATAAAAAAGGCACTAACGCAGACGGTGTGTATTATGTTCTGGATTTATAATTTCCATTATTAGTACTTACCCCGTTAAGACAGTTTTCCCCATTCAGGAAAGCTCTGACAGGTGAATCATCAGTGATCACGGGCGGCGATTTGTCTACAAGCTGTTGATGTGGCTTCGCATCCTCAACTAGATCCTCGTCTTCATTGAGGGGGTGCAGTTCGAATTTAAGATGAGTTTCACCGTCCTGTAATATTAACATTAAAGTCAAGATCTTAAAGTAGATACTTATTTACCCATTAAAGCACTGTTCTGATTCCTTTTATGTTGTAAAGTGTTCTGTGATGGATTTCATTTAATTTACTCAAATTTTGTACATATTGTTGATATAAAATTCATATCTCCATTATTTTGGTAAGATATAATTTTAATTATATAATTCAATAATTATGATCACAGCTGGACATCAACTTGCAACGTTTTTAACATTTAATCAAAAAAACTTACATTTTTTAATGAATAAAGGAATAATTTAATATTAAACAATATTAACAATATCCTATATAAATTTCAGTATTACTGGGTTGACTCTGAGCGATAATTAACTGTAGTATTTTATCAGAAATCTAATACATACACATATACTAACCTAATGTACAAACTAATTGATATATTAATAATCACACTACATATTTACCACACTGAAAGAGACAATAAGCAGCAATATAGTACAAAATACATGCTAAAACAAAAAAATATATAATTACCTTATCAATTTTTTCAACTTTCAACACAGCTAGAACATCCTTAGGATCGTTATCCTGAATAACGCCAACAAAAATGTTAAAAAAGCCACTAAATTACTAAACTCATGTATGCTACAAAAATGGTGTCGATTGTAATGTTGAAAATTATAAAACTGAATATATTTAGCCAAAACCGTAGCGTAAATCAGAACTGCAATTTCATATCAAATTTGCTAATACTGAAATATCAAACTTGCTGTAAGTTTGACAAAACACGATACAAAACTTGTTTATAAATTTACGAGATTGTCTTTGTATTCGTTCAACTTATTTCTAGTTCAATGTAGTCAATGTTGAACCGGTAAAAATCAAAACGGTCGCAATTTTGTGTTTTTATTGACAAAAACGGTTTGATTCCAACACAACATAATCAACTAAAGATACTTGGACTCATTTGAGGCTTCAGTTAGTGTATTTAGTAGACAAGTCATGACATGTAGTCAAGACAAGACATGACATAAGACATAATAATATTTAGATAGTATATGTATTTCTCGACTTATCAAGAATATGACTTGGCGAAGTGTCACTTTTCCACATATCTCACTTTGGATCACTTTATCGCCTCGTCTGTCAAGATCTTTTTCCCAAAAAACATAGAGGTTTCAAGTTGTATTTATAAAATGACAAGGTTGAGTTGATCACTCGGAAAAATTGGCAAAACATTTCGTGAATTCATCCCGGAGATAGACGAATTATCTACATGCAAGTTATCTACATGCATGCATTTAACAGTTTGTCGAAAAATGAACTGAGATAAAAAAGCCTTGTCATTCGTAACCGTACTTACATGTTTGTAATCGACCTTATTTATTTGTATTTGCATACTTGCAGATAGCATCGTAAAAGAATCTCGGGCTTAAAACAAGTACCAGTATTAGGAGCAAGCTTGATATTACAGAGTTGAACAGAGTATTATAGAGTAGATTATAGAGACAAGATATAGTAAACGCAATTTACTACAATCGACACCAGGCACATGACAAAGGAATTCACAAACTAGTTAAGTCAACATCATTACATAGTTTGATAATGAGAGTATTCCAAAAATAAGAAACTTAGCTTAAATAAACACTTTTGTTCCATAAAATGTTTAAAACAAGCAAATCACACACTGTTCTGTCACACTGTCAAAAAAGCAATATCATTGATTTTAGTGTAGATAGATATTTAATTAAAATTATCGTACATAGAAGTATCAGACAAATAATGTTTACAGGCCGGCCTTATTACTAAATGCAATCTTTTCCAGGAAACTTTAATGAAGAGAATATAATTCGTGTTGGCAGACGTCACGGCCTTTTGTAATGTTTTCCTTGGCACTTAAAGCAAGTTACAGGTAAGTTTACTTCACGAATTGCATACATCCATTGTCAAGTGGTTAGCTGGTCAAAATATAAAACGATAGTTTTAAACTACTTCTACTTGTACAAGATGACGATTTAATTACTTTTGATATAATTAAAACGAAGACATTTATTTATCACCGGTATTCGTTTTACTTTTAAGTTATAAAATGAAATATTTTCGGGGTCTGTTTTCGTACATTAAGTTGTAAGATTCAGTTATATGAGGGATCTTCAGCAAATACGTTCGTGAAATGCGCCCTGACCTAGGAAAAAGGTATTTTTTAAGAGGAACGATCTAGCCATTCCGACTAATGGAAATTGGAATTGTTTTGTTTGAATGCTTTAACATTGAAGAGAACAATAGCTGTTTGAGGCTGTTCGATAAAAATTGCTCGAGTTAACTGGCTCTAGGTTTGTCAGGAGTCACTGGGTAGTGGAAGTGGGCCGGTCTTATCTCCAGACAGACTGATGGACGCTGGAGCCGAAATGTGCTAGACTGAGATTGCGATTAATCATTTTCTGTGACATTGTCTGACTCCATCCAGGCATCCAGCCAAACCGTAGGCCCTAACTGCCAAAAACAGACACTTCTCAAGTCAATAAAGAAAAAACTTCTGTAAAAGAAATACCCAGCGAGCAAAAGAAACTTTCTGACGGGGGTAACAGACATGTTCTCCTATAAAAGGAAACAGTGGTTGTTTTAAGCTATTGGAATGAAAACCTACTTGGCAAATCAATTACCATAGGTGGCCAAATTAATAGGGACAGTGCTCGTATTTATGTAATTTATAGTTTATTATATTTTTTTGAATAAATGATGTTGTTTTTAAGCGGTTATTGTATCTGATATATTTACTGGTATCATTATTATTGTTTTTGTCAAATGGCAACACAGAATACGTGCGTTTTTTATTAATTGTGTGACGTTTCTTCTTTGCCCGTAAAAAGCGCGGTTTTCGGTATTATTGTTGTATTGTCTAGGTATTATTTTATCATTAGTTTTAACCGACTTTTGTGTCTTAATTAATTAAAAGGTAAGTAATGCTCCGTATAAGAATAGTTTTGCTACGTTTTGTCTATGAGTTTACATTTTATTAATGGTTCAACACGTTAACCCAAAATTATAAGCTTTTTAGGATGGGTAGGACTTTGGACAAGTCTCCAAGAAAATGTAGAGAGATACAAACGTTGTTACTGCACTCCACACATTCTCAGAGAGACATAGCAGCTATTGCTGGGGTTTCAAAGTCTGTCGTCAATCGAATAAAAATAAAAATTGACAATAAAAAGCCTCTTGAAGCAAATCGTGCTGGCAAATGTGGCAGGAAAAGGATTACAACAGCTCGTACCGATTGAAAAATCAGGAACATCTGCCTCGAAAACCGTAAAAAGGGCGTTGCTCGTTTAACAACTATGATAAACGAAGAGGGCATAAAGATTTCAGAGCGGACAATGCGGAGGCGGTTGGTCGAAAAGCATCTCATGGGAGTGCGGCCTGCCAAAAAACCACGCCTAACCGGTAGTATGAAAAAGAAACGACTCCAATGGGCTAGGCAACATCGATCTATGACTATTGCAGACTGGAGTCGAGTAAGTGTAACTATTTTGTATAATGCAATTGGTCAATAACAATTTATTTATTTATTCTACTATTCATTCTATCAATTACAGGTGTGTTTTCCGACGAATCTACCTTCCAAATTTTGGTTGACAAAAGTTATTTTATAAGACGACGTCCTGGTGAGAAATTTCACGCTGATTGCCTTGTAGAGAAGGTTAAACACCTGGTTAGTGTCATGGTGTGGTCTGTCATCTTAGCCAAAGGCATGGGACGCCTATACATTGTGGAAGGGACTATGAAACAAGACCAATACAAGAGAGTACTAGAAACGCGATTATTGCCGCAGTTCAATGAATGGTTCCCTGATGATGACGAATACATTTTTATGCATGACTCAGCACCGTGCCACAAAGCCAGAAGTGTAACTGCATTTTTGGCTGAAAAAAATGTCTCTGTTTTGCCTTTGCCAGGGAATTCACCTGACATGAATCCAATAGAAAACATGTGGGAACTCACCAAACGGGCGATCGCGAAAGAAGTGATTACCACTAAGCGACAATTGATTGAAACTCTCATCAGAGAATGGTATCACAACTCCAAACTCCAGGAAAATGCAAAAAAATGTATTGAGAGCATGCCCCGACGCATAAAAGCTCTTATTGCAGCAAAGGGTGGCATCACTAAATATAAAAAAATATTTTATTTATTTTTACCAATATTGATAGTACTCATACGAAGAATATAAATCAGTTTTGTATATTTTTTTTGTAGTTTTTGTGATCCTTATAGAATACAGATACAAAGAAAAAATATATAAGAGACCTACAACTAATCGTTTGTTACAGAAATCCAATTAAACTAGGAAATTCAAAAATTTCGATACTGTCCCTAATAATTTGGCCACCTACTGTAGGTAAGTTTCGGTGAAGAGCGCTCTCGAGTTAATGAACAGGCAAAAGTCAAGAGATCAGAAGAAATTTTGGAAAACTTTAGCTGTGGACTTAGGGATACAATGGGGGGTTTTCAGGTCTAACGGCAAGGATATCCTGTTCCTCTAATCAGTTCAACTCAGTGATAACACAGGCCAAAAAAATTGACAAAGTTTCTTGCCTAGAAACCAGAATATGCTTTCCCGAAGTATTTTGGTGCGCTGAATCCAAATGCGGCCGCAGAATTGATCTATCACGTCAGGTTTTTGAGATATTTTAATCTAAATCGCCATTTTTGCTCATTTTTGCGGTTATGTAACCCTTCAAATTTTTTTAAAAAGTACACAGGGTATCTTAAAGTTAAGTCTTTAGCTTTCAAATATTGTTGAGTTTGCTCATATATCATTTTTTTATCTCAAAAACCTGACGTGATAGAGCAATTCTGCGGCCGGATTTGGATTCATCACACCAAAATCCTACTAAAAAGTACACTCTTGTTGCTGGGAAAAAAAAATTTGGCCTGTGTAATAACTTCCACCTCTTAATTTTACTTTATGGATATCGTGATAGTTCACGATATCCGATATGAACTAGTGTTCAAGTAAATAAATCGGAATCTTGTATATAAGATACGCTAAACAAAAAATTATATTCTAAAAAGAAAACTTTGTGCAACATACCTCATCATTCTAAATACACACAAGATAAAACAAATTAAAACTTACATTACTACTCATCATTCTGATGGTCTGATGATGGAACCGCAGGCTATCAACCTCCATCTTCAGCAGACTCCTTGGTTTCTTTGGTGCATCGTCAACAGGCAAACAATCTATGATGTTCTCACTCACATCTTTTGGTTTAAAGTGTGGATGTTCACAGAGCAAGGGAGATAGAATGATTATCTCATACTCGCATGTAGAAGTTTCTTTGAAGGAGTAGACTTCGTGTTTTCCGTGGGTATAGCATACATAATAAACTCTAGTTAAACGGGGTTTACCACTTAAATCACAGACTGTACCTGTAAGGGAAAACAATTATTATGTAAAGACCCAGTCTTTACATAACTGTACGACATACAGTAGAAACTCGATTATCCGGCCCTCAGTTATACGGATTCGCGATTATCCGGACTATAAACTGCGACCAATTAAATAATTAAGTAATATTGAGCCAAGTTACAAAATGTTTAACATATGTACTAAAAGTCGAATTTATGCAAGCACGAACGAGTCGGAACTGGCATTACCCCGCCCACGCCCCACGGGATCGCTGCTCCACGCGTTTCGTTATTGTTTTGGTTAGTTAGCAATTGTTACTCCGCTCTGATGTGCGTGTCGCGTCTAAATATTTGAAAATGTCAAAGCGTAAGAGAGTGGTGTTATCGCTTAAAGACAAAATAAATATTATTGATTCATTAAAAAAAGGAGAAACCGGTCGTAAGTTAGCTGATGAGTATTGTGTAGGTACATCCACGATAAGTGATATTAAGAAGAATGCCGATTCAATTTTGTTGTACACCTGCAAATTAGATAGTGAAGACGGGAGTAAACATCGGAAAATGATGAAGAAACCGAAAAACGAACTTTTAGAAGACGCTTTGTATTGTTGGTTTTTACAAAAACGATCAACTGGGCAACCGATATCTGGCCCTTTACTCTGTGAAAAAGCATTATAGTTAAATAAAAAATTAGGTGGTGATGAATCGTTTGTCGCAAGTAACGGATGGTTATACAGATTTAAATCTCGTCATGGAATTTGTGAATTGGAAATACAAGGTGAAAAAATGTCAGCTAATGTAGATGCAGCAAACTCTTTTAAAGATGATTTTAAAAAGAAATTGGATGAAAATAACTATGACTTGGATTTTGTTTATAATGCTGATGAAACCGGATTAAACTGGAAATCATTACCTTCAAAATCTTTAGTTTCTAGGCGAGAGAATTCAGCTCCAGGATATAAAACTAGCAAAGAGCGAGTAACTATATTAGTCTGTGCTAACGCTACCGGGACCCATAAAATACCTTTGCTCCTCATCGGAAAATCAAAAAAACCCAGATGTTTTAAAAATATCAGAGTGCCCTTAATTTATAAAAATCAAAAAAGCGCATGGATGAACTCTGAAATATTCATTGACTGGTATGACAACACTTTTATCCCTGAAGTAAAAAAAAAATCAAAACGAAATTGGCAAGCAAGGTAATGTACTACTTTTACTGGATAATGCGCCAACCCATCCTTCGGCTGAATTGTTAGAGAGAGAAAATGGAAAGTTTAAAGTAAAATTTTTGCCTCCTAATGTGACATCCTTTTTTTTTTTTTTTTTTTAACGTGTGGAAATCCCCTCGGACCGTCACCCCTCCGGGGTTTGCGGCGGGGTGGTGTGTCGGACTCGGACCGACTAAAACCACACGGTGTGCCACTCTGCGCCTGTAACAGGAGGGATCCGGGAACAGCTGTTGTTAAGACATCCGGACCCCTCCTAGCGCCAGCCCGCTCCTGGTGCGGGCTCCGTCTCAGTGTTTTTTCCTCTCTTTAGGCGACGTCCGGCACACGCGGACGCCGCCCCCTCGCGGCTGGCCAAACTAATGCGGGTGGAGGGGAAACCCACCCCGTCCACCCGCGGCCACACTCAGGGCGGCATGAGGCTGTGGTAGGCGGGCCTCCGCCGCCCGGTTCGCCGGCGGCGGATCGGGTCCGAGTGGAGGTCGTCCTCCCGGGCCCTCTCCGCCGCCTCCTTCCGCGAGATTACTACCTCGCAGAAGGTTGCGACCGCGGTAAAACAACTGTCGCTACCGGCCATGGAGCGTACTACGGCCGGTAGCGAGAGATCCACTCCGATGACTGCAGTGAGGGCCCGGCGCTGCGCCGCCCATGCGGGGCAGACCGCCAGCGTGTGCTGGGCCGAGTCCTCACTGCAGTCGCAGTGGTGGCAGGCGGGACTCAGTTCCCTCCTAGCGACCGTGTGCAGGTACTTTCCGAAGCAACCGTGCCCGGAAAGCACCTGCGTCAGTCGGAAGGAAAGGGTCCCGTGCTGCCGCCCTGCCCACTCGGCGATGACCGGCTGGAGAGCCTCCACGGCGGCGAAGCCAGCGCGTGGAGTCTCCAGCCGGAACGACCAACGAGCCATCGTGGCTCGGCGAGCGGCTTCGCGCCACTCGCGCACATCCTCGGGCGGAGGGCGAAATCCGCTCTCCGCCCGGAAGTCAGCCACTCGCCGATAAACTTCGGCGAGCACTTCCGCCTCCAAATCCCACGGGGGAGTTCCGGCCAACGCGCATGCCACCTCCGTAGAAACGGTGCGGTAACCGCGTATGGCTCTGACCGCCATTACCCTCTGAGGGCGCCAGAGGCGTACCCTATTCTGGGCGGTCAGAGCCGCCGCCCACACCGGTGCACCGTACAGCGCCATTGACCGGACAACCCCCGTGTACAGCCGTCTTGTCGCGACGCTGGGTCCACCCATATTGGGCAAGAGTCGCCCTAGGGCAGACGCAGCGCTGACCAGCTTTGGAGCAAGCTGTCGGAAGTGCTCGTCGAAGAGCCACCTCCCGTCGAGGATCAGGCCCAGATATTTCATCTGGGCCCGAACCGGTACGAGGACCGAGTTGACCACGATGGAGGCGCCAGGGGGTGGACCACGACGGGGCCCATGAAATAACAGGGCCTCCGTCTTATCTAGGGCCACCCGTAAGCCCAGCGCCTCAATGCGCCCGACCACCAGGGAGACTCCCCCTGTGGCCAGGCGCGCCGCCTCTTGGAAGTTTGCCCCCCGGGCTGTCACCAGTGTATCGTCTGCGTAACAGATTACACCCAGCCCGGGGGGGAAATCGGCGCGAAGGGCCCAGTCGTACCCTATGTTCCACAAGAGGGGTCCAAGAACAGACCCCTGTGGAACACCGCACGACATGGGCCGACACCTCAAATTACCTTCTCGGTCCTCGTACACGACGGTACGCTCCTCTAAATAGTCTGCCACTAGCCGCCTCAGGTACTTTGGCACCCCATGATAGTGGAGTGCTTCCCTGATGCAGCTGAATGGCAGACTATTGAATGCGTTGGCGATGTCCAGTGACACCGCCAACAGCACGCCGCCACAGCTCACGGCCTCTTCGGTCACGGCCCTCAGGCGCAACACGGCGTCGACTGTCGAACGCCCCGCCCGAAAACCAAACTGGGCGTCCGACAGATCGGGGCCCACCTCGCAGAGGTGCCGGACGATGCGGGCAGAAAGAACCCTCTCAAACAATTTGCCCGCCTCGTCCAGCAGCACGATGGGCCTATAGGCCGCGACCGAATCGGCTGGCCGTCCCGGCTTCCTCAATAGGACCAGCTTCCCGCTTTTCCAGCACTCAGGGAAGCGTCCCGACGCCAAGCTAGCGGCGAACACCTCCCCGAGGCGGTCTGCCATGTGGTTGAGGGCCAGGGCCAGCACTCGGGCCGGTACCCCGTCTGGCCCAGGGGCGGTGTTCTTGGAACGGATCCGTAGAACAGCCGCCCCTACCTCCGAATCCCGGACGGGCGGAACATTGTCCTCCCCGTGCTCCCCGTCGTCTCCGGCCAGGGAGGCCATCGACGGGGGAGTGTGTTCCGCTCGTTGTGGGAAAAGGTCCTCAACCACTTCTCGCAGGAAGCTGGGCTGGAGAGTCTCCGTAAGGGGGGGGCCCGACGCGCGGAGCTTTTGTCGCACCGCGCGGTAAGGGCGACCCCAGGGGTCACGATTAAGACCCTCCAGCATCTCCTGTCTCTTTTCCTCTTTGGCGCGGCTAATGGCCAGCTTCAGAGTTTTCCGCGCCCGCCGGTACTCCTCATGAAGCCGGTCCTCCTCACCGTCTCCACGGTGACGCCGCCGACTGCGTGTGTAGGACCTCCGGGCACGTGTACAGGCCGCACGGAGGTCCGCCAGCTCCTGGGACCACCAGTAGACCTCCTTCCTTGGAGGCCGACGACCTCGAACGCGGGGCATGGCCGCATCGCATACATGCGTAATCGCATCGCGAAAGCGGCCAGCCCCCACGTCGACCTCCTCGGTCGGAGCCTGAGGAGACAGCCACGAGTGAATTATGGCTGCCTCCTCTAGTAGGTCCCGGTTCAGCCTGGCAACAGCCCACCGCGGAAAGCGGGATAAACGCCGCGCCACGTGACCCCTACTGGAGTCCTGGGTCCCTGGATAAACCCTCGTTGGAGGGGGCAGGTGCGGAGGGGCCCGGCAGGGGTGTCGGAGTGGGGAGCGGAGGGAATGCCACTCCGCTCCTCGGCGCCGTTTTAGGCCCCGTCTTGGCCGGCGCCTGGGGATGTGCCTTGGCCGGCGCCTTAGCCGGTGCCTTGGCCGGCGCCTGGGCCGGTGCCTTGGCCCCCCTCCTCGTCGGCTTTTGTGGAGCCGATGGAGTCGGGGCAGACGCCGCCGCCGCGTAGGAGACGCGGCCTCCCACTACGGGGAGCGCGGTCGGAGCGGTGGCCTTAGGCCGCTGTGCCGACGCGAGCGGGGGGCGCATAATCGGCGCAGGGGGCAGTCTCGCCTCCAGGCCAGCCAGGCGTCCGTCCAGCATATTCCCAACTGCGATGAGAATTTCTCGCAGTTGGGAGTCAAATGCCCCTGAGTTGGTGGTAGGGGCAGGCTGGGACGCGGACGGGGCTTCCCGCTCGGGGAGGTTCGCCTGGAAGCGGGCGAACTGAGCACTCAGCTCGTTCACCCGCTCCGTCAGCCTCTCGTTGGCCACCTGCAGGCGAGAGACGTCGCCCGCTAGGCCCTCCACGACCTCCGACAAAGCGGAGGAGGAGTCCTTAAGGGCCCTCACAAACGAGCCCTTAAGGTTTACGGATTTGGTGGCCACCTTGTCGATGACGGCCACCGCCGCTTTCGCCCTCTCCTGCACGGACACGGGAGCCTGGGGGGCATTTCCCCCCACCGGCTGCCGAACCTTGAGCAGGAGATCCGCGATCTCCTCCTCCGCTACGGCCTCGCCGTCCACTCGTACGCTCCTGTAGGACTCCGCGTTTGAGAACGCGGAGCCTGACGGGGTCGAGACCGAGGCCGAGGCCGGTTTACGCGCCCTCCCTCGGCGGCTGCTTGCCACCTTTGGTGGCATCATTTCGCCGGACGTGTCGGTCCCCTCCTCCCTGGAGCGTCCGCGTTTCCGGCTGTCGCTCCGCTCCGCTTCCATGGCGTCCGCGCCATCCGATGAAACGGCGGATCCGGAACGCAAACGATCCGATGCCCTTCGGCTCCCAGAGACCAGAGTCAGACTGACCTCTGGGAGCCCCATCGAGATAGGCGTTCCTGACACCATCTCACCCTCAGTGGACGACCCATCCGCTCCACTGTTCCTCTTCTCCTTCTTCGTTGCCGTGTCCGTTTGACTTGCCTTTTTCGTTTTAGTTTGTTTTCCAATCGGTTTCTGAATGTTTTGCTTATCATTATCCATAATAAATCCCACGAGTGGGGGAGAACTAAAGGTCCACCCGGGCAGAGATCCCCCATTACCCGGGCAAGCGTAAGTTTTTAACCCAACCGAGGGGTCCGCAGGTACCTCGGCTTGGAGTGCGCTCGCGACTGAACTTCCCATCAGCCATGCATCCCCTGGCCACGCACCAGAACACGGGATTCGGGGAATTTTTTAGAGAGGTTATCTTCCTCGCGGTCCGGGCGGTTAAGCCAAGACCCTCGTCCCCGATCAGAGCCGCGAGACTTAACCACAGCGCTCTTCTCGGGATTACGATATGCCGACGGTTGACAGGGAGACTACGTCCTCCTGCCTGCTCGGTGGTAGTGTGAGTACACGCCGAGCCCGTCCTCCTTTCTCCACCGCTATCAGCGGAGAAAACTGTGGCCCCTACAGGGCCCCGCCATCAGGTTTTTTACCGAGGTTTCCTCCTCCATGCTCCGAAGAGCGAAGAGCCAGCAGGGCAACCGGCAGACACGCCCACCCTGCTGGACCAGGCCTTGCCCGAGAGCCGATGAACGGCTGCCTCTTCTGCTAGAATATTGGCCGCTGGCGATAATCCTCTCCTCCAAGAGGACAAGGAGGAAACAGTACCATCGCCAGCGTTTCCAGGGTGCACCACGAGGAGGTTTTCTAGCCAGCACCCCATCCTTGCTACAACCAATGGATCAAAGTATTATTGAAACATTGAAACGACTTTATAGAAAACAACTTTTACGTAGGTTGTTATCTGTTGATGAAGATAATGTAGAAGTCGTTTTATCATTTTTTAAGGGAATGAATTTAAAGGAGTGTTGTTACATGGTTGTAGATGCGTGGGATTTGATTGAAAGGAAAACTTTAAACAAGGCTTGGAACAGAGTACTTAATCGGGAGAATGAAAATTCAATAACCAATACGGATGATTTTATTTTGAAGGATATTAATGAGCTAATGTTAAAGATACAAATATGCCAGGATTGTGATGATGATGATATCAAAGAGTGGGTCACTTGTGACAGTAATGATCAAGGTTTTCAGATTATGTCGGATGACGAAATCGTAGAAAACATATTGCAGATAAATGAACAGCAGGAAATGCAAGAAGATGAAACAGAAAAAAATCTAGACGTAGAAAATGATGCAGGACCATGTCATGATGAAGCACTTCAGGCTCTGGAAACAGCTCTCAAATGGTTTGAAAAACAAACAGAGAGTGATACTGTAAGTTTATTACAGCTGAAACGAATTCGTGATATAGCAGCAATGAAGAGAAAAAGTAGCTTACGTCAAATGCCAATTACCAAATATTTTAAACCAAATTAAACTTATTATTAAATTATTATTATTTTTAATTAATAATATTACATTACATTAATGTATTATTTATTAATAAATATTACTATTATTAAACTTATTTTATTTCACAAAACCCGCTTTTCTTCATACATTCGATTATCCGGACTTTCGATTATCCGAATCCCTAACGACAACAATTAATCCGGTTAATCGAGTTTCCACTGTACATTTATATATACGCTTCTGACCTTCCCCTACGGAATATAGACACTAGTGTAACATATATTTACCTTAACTTTTTACTCAGTTAACATCCTATTCCTGAGAGATAGAGAAATTACAGGGGGCAAAGCTATTGGTGGACCTTACCTTCATCCAGAACCATTTCAACCGAGGGTAGCTTAACGCCTTCAACTTTAGTCATCTTATATGGCTCCTTAAACTCAGTGGATTCCAATTTTGCATGTTTCTCGGCACTCCAGTGACCTAAATAGTATTCTTGAGTCTTAACTTGTTTGCCTGAAATTCAATTTATAGAAAAATGTTGTACTTCCCACAATGCATATTTAGATTTTATATCTTTCTGTCATCAGTTTAGAGTTGTATCCATTAGGTTGCCTACGTGTTTAATGGCTGTTTAAGCAAAGTTCTATTTAAAGTCAGTGTGTTTTTCATAATAATATTAAAATATGAAATAAATGATATAAATGAGAGGCTATGCCCATACTTTCTGCACAGGCACGCACTGCCTTTAAAGAAATACCTTTTCAGCACAGACAGTCTGAAAAATTAACAACATTAAAAAATCCGTCCCTTTTCAGTTTCAGGGTGCATCAGCAAAAACACATGACACTACAGTTGCGCCATTCTACAAGATTCATTTATTTTACAAAATTGGTCACATAAGATGTGTAATTAATGTCAATTATCATCAAATAAATTTTCATTTTTTTCTTCTGTGCCTCCGATACCACCCACCCGTGGTTATGTCGGACTCGAACAAACCAACGTGGTACCCTAGGTATAGGTGTACCCTAGGAAGGAAAACCCTGAAACCCCGACGTACCTCGGGCCATCTACGGCGTGTACATGACCCCTCTTGTGTGAGAACCCCTATGTCCCTTTGTGCTCCCGAAAGGACGCGCACGCTTCGCAGCGCGTCTCGCCACCACCCCGGCCTGCTTCTGCCAGGGTGACAGATGGCCTCACCTACCACCCCCAGGCCTACGCTTATGATGGACGGAGGTCATTCTGCGACCTCCGGCGCCTGAGTCATGGCCATCTCCTTTGCAAGCATAACTTGCTCGCAGGAGACGGCGGAGTTCCACGAACTATCGCTCCGTACTATGGCGGCAATCGTGTTACCGAGCGAGAGAATTCCAACTCCGATGGCCGCCACGAGGCAACGCCGGTCCGGCCGATTCGCAGTGGTGGATGGTAGATACCCAATGAAATATTTGATTACCCATAATAAAATCACAAATAGTTACAGTACATGTTAAATGTCAATCTAATTACAATTAGTGAAGCTCATTATCTAAGTAGATAGGTATCTGACAGTTGTTTCAACATAATTTTTAATTACCAAGTATTGACTATTCATTTAATATTTTGTGGCAATCCCTCAAATACTTTGTAATATACCCAAATAGTGTAGGCACTTTGTTGATACAGCTACTTGCTTCCTATGCAACGCAATGAAGTTTTTCTTCATTTGCCACATAAATACAGTAGTTATGAAAACAACCAACTTTACTATGTAAATAAAAACCAAATGTTTATTGTCACAGCTGACAATATATTTTTCTTGACGAATTCTCAACTTTGACAGTTTGAGAACTATAGAAACTAAGCCAAACTGCTAATGTTTTAAAGTTTATTTTTTTATACTGAAGCATGGCCCCACCAGTCCTTTCTTCTACGATTTGCTACAATCTAATAAAAAAATTCTGACCTTCTCTTTCCTCATGGTACTGCCGAATGTACCTCCCATGACATACTTCATAGCTCCAATAGCTTTCTAGTCTGTACGAACATATCTTCTGTGTAAAGAGTGGCTTTAGCAGGCTTATTGGCGAAGGCCCATCATACTCTCCAATGCTTGTTGTCTCTTTCGCTCGTAGCTCTGGTATCTTACATTCATAGTTTTCTTTATTCGCTGTTGTAACTTTAAGGATTTCTTTTTTCTGTAACTGATGTAAAAATATCATAAAATATATATATTTTTAACTATAGGATGAAAACATGCACAAGCTACCATACCATATATTCATACAAATTAAGTCAAATTTTACAATTTTGAATGTCTTTACTATTTTTGAATATAACATCTCATTCAGAATATATTCATAATTTGCATAACACTATGTCCTTTAAGATCTAGCTTTCAGCTAGTAAATCTGCAATGATATGAATTGCAAATTGTAACAAATTTACATCCATTTTTATTGGGCATATGTCCGCCAATTCTTAAATTCGTGAATAATGAACAACTGTTGGTGATTGATGAAATTCAATTGATATAATTGATATTAGACACTCATTTTGACCAGGACTGAGGACAAAAATGGTGCATTTGTGATCCAAATTAGGTTCGTACATCCACAGTTATATATGAATACTGACTAAATATATTTAGTATATATATGACTTTTGCTCAAAACTAACATAAATGATACAAATAATTGTCCTTATTATAGACTTATAAAACTAAATACCTAAACATACCTCTGGAGTAGCAGGTGGGTTAATATCACCATCAATTAGATTTTCAAGTTCTTTATTGCCCGGCCAGTTTATTCCAAATAGAATACTGTCGTCGAATCCTTTGAAATCATGATCTATGCAACACGAAAATTTCAAAAAACACAAACATACGAGCCATATACCCTTCATGTTACTTATTTAAGCATTAATAAAATCATAACAATCTGAATTTAAAAAATATTTTCCATTTATCAATTTATTCTTTTGGAAAACAAATTATAACGTTGACATGTAGTAAGGTTTCTCAAACTACAACAATAATATATTAAATAATCACCAAAAAACGACCTCTGTAATATAGCCGAATAATACAGGGTATGAGTTGGTCACCTGTCATTAGTGCACGTCAAATTCGTTCAGAAATAAACCTCAACAAATGATTCTTGACTGACTTCTTTATTTTATTCTATGCTGTTCGATAACTTCACCCAAATCGTAAAGTAGACTTTGCTCAAGTGCTTAAAGGACTTTTAAAATACTCAGTCTACCTGAATAATAGCGTCTGTGAGATTCTATGGTGCTAATAAACCACTAAAAAACCTAAAAATTTTATTCAGACTATAAATGGCATGAAAATTAAAATGTATTTTAAGTTGTAATTTAAGTTATTCGATTCCATAATAAATAATTATGTTTAAGTAAATATGTACCAAAATATGAAAATTCAAATTACATCACAATTATATTTTAATTATTATTGAAAATTTCGAGGGTAATTTGACGAAAACGCAGTGGACGCCATATTTATTTATTTAACTTAATGCACAAGTTATACACAGGCAGATTTAATGCCCAAGGCATTCTCTGCCAGTCGACCTTCGGGTGGTGTAGAAAAATGATGTTGTAGGTGCAAGAGAAAACAGAGAATTTAACTTTATTTATATTAAATTTATTAATTTAAGATAAATCTAACTTACATATATACACTATACATAAAATACTATATTCATTACTACATATGTATCTCCATAGAGGTACATATATACATATTGCTCTACGGTCATGTATACTTCCCATTGCTTGCTGGTGTTGTGATACGAAAGTATCATTAAAACGTTGTTTCAAAGTTATGTCGTTGGATTTGCTTCTAGCTATCAGCTGTATCATAGTAAATTTTATGTAGTATAGTCTAGTAGACATAGTACTATACGATAAAGAAAACAATATTAGCAAATTAGTTAATGTAACATGTAAAATCAAGATAGTGTTAGATAATCAAGATTGCATATTAATAGCAACAAAACAAAGCAACATAGCAACAAAAGTAATTGCTGTAGCTAATTTAAGGATCTGAACCAAGTCTATTGCCGACGAACGGTAGTACGCCTAGCGGTCGTTGGATAGAACATTTTTTGTTCTGGCTAACTAGTATACCATACTGATCACAAAAAACTCTCAAATCTAAAATCTTCGGGGTATTCCTCTAATACTTCCGTTCAAATGCTAAGCCGTTTACCAAGCTAACTTCACATTGAAGAATTGATAACCTATGACATTAGAAGCATAATAAATAAAGCCGCATTATTGTTCATTGCGTCTACCGAGGTGCTCTCTTACGACTGTCCATCGCGAACGTGTGCGTATGCGACGTACCTATATGAAAATTAATATTTATTTAATATTAAATAAGTTCATACCAAACGTATTCTTTACGTGAGAAGAAGGCTAGATTAAGTGTTAAGACGTGACATTTAGTTAAAATTATAGACAGTTGTTAAAAGTAACAAATTGGTAAGTACCCTTTTCTTTAGCATTATTATTAATTGTTTTCAAGTGGTAGATACAAATCTTGTTTGAATGGTTTAGTTTTACAGGTTTATTATCTTTTTGATCTTCAGCGACTTGTACGATTAAGTAATATTAATACAAATTGCTTGTTCAAAAAGAAAAAGTTAGTTTCGGCGAACATTCTAATAGCTAGCCATAGAAAATGTTATTTACAAAAACATTTCGACGTGAAGTAGAAGGAAAATAATATTTTCAAAGTAAATTAATATAACTTTTTTAATGGAATAGAGGGCCAACGAGCAGACGAGTCACCTGATGGAAAGCAACTACTCAACAACAACAACTCAGGAGTCACAAGCGCGTTGCCAGCCTTTGAGAAAGGAGAACGCTCTTTTCTTGAAGATTTTAAAGTACCTTTTGATTCAGGCTTCGCCTGCCTCAGGTTAAAGTTTAATGACTATATCTCCGAAATACAGTCTGAGAAATTCATGCAGTTAGGATAAATAACAAACAACCAACCAATACTCATAGAATTCTATAATATAAAAACTAGCAAAATACCACTTAGAAATATAATATTTAGGAAAGATTTGTTAAACGCATAAAACATAGGATAGACATGTTCGATTTTTTAAGTTTTATGGAAATTGTCCGCGGCTCCATTTAGTGTAAGTACTGTTTTGTACTTGTGGTTTTGTGAGTATAAAGTACTGTTAAAATGACCTAAATCGCCCTAAATAAATGAGTTATTTCAAGAAAGAAATGAAATTGAAAATGTGACGATAGCTCCTGACACAGCGCATTCATACGAACATATTTTTAGTTTTTATTTGAATAGGAGTGAATTCTATTTACGTCGGGGTACCAGGGTACGTCGGGGTAAACCAGGGTACGTCGGGGTACCAGGGTACGTTGGGGTACCAGGGTACGTCAATGTACCAGTGATTTTCTTTCTAGGGTACACCTGGTTCCCCGACTACTGGTACCCGAGACGGTGTGCGGATTTTGGTCGGTTCGAGTCCGAAATAATAACCCCACCAGTGGAAAATATAGGAGGGGATTTCCGCACAGGAAAAAAAAAGGAGGGAATTCTATTAAATAAATTAAAATTAAATACCTACCATCACCATCATCAGGTGGTAGGTTTAGATTAGGTATGTGACCGAGAAATCGATTAAGATATTTGTATGATGATAATATTAGTATACAAGCCCCCCTTGATATAAATGGGTAGGTACCTACATAGTAGGCACTACGAGTATATGTTTAGATATAACTCGTTGATATGGGCGGAGACCCTGAAGGCCAGCAACGTCGCACTATTGCGACGACCGCAGCGAGTGCTGGGCATCAGGGGGCTTTATATTTTTTTGAATGGGAATGCTTTTCGCACCATACCCTCCGTTGGGGAAACATAGGGCGTGTGTGGAACTCCTGGAGAACCGGCCTACACACTAAACCCCGGGGCGGCCTACCTCGGCAGTCGGGAGGAGATCCAGGAACGCATCGGTGACTTCTAGAGTAATCCCTGCCGTACCCCATGTCTGAGGCACGTCCTGGAGTGACCGTGAGTGACCGGAGAGGCGCAGTAGCGAGGGCATTTACGCACAGAAAAAAAAAAGATATAACTCGTTGAAACAAATAGTCGTAAATATGCCTAGATCATTGAGATTCTTAAAGCATTCGAATCAAATAGTCGACGTTTTTTTTATATTTTGTAAGCAAGTAATATAAAAACGTGATGTTTAAATACTTACCTACGTTAAAGTTATAATTGTATTAATCAGATGTAAAGTAAATGGCTGTGACAGTAAAATTAATACATGATTATTTTACGGTCACAGCAATTTACTTTATGTCTGATTAATACATTCATTAGTGTCGTATAGTGTAAATATTATTTGTTGTTCATTAAGTATTTACTATTTAAAGATAATTTTTAAATTAATACAAAACAGGCAAAGTAAGACGTAGCGAGGTAACAAAGTGTACGGCGAAAGAACTTAAAGAACTACTACCTACGTTATTCCTCGACTATTAATAAATAAACTACCGCCGGATTTAGGTAATAAATTAACAAAATCACATGTGAAAACTATAAATAGGTAGATGGGATAGGCAACATGTAATATTGGTTTATTAGTAGAATTCCCCTATTCATCCCGTGGGTGTCGTAAGAGCCGACTAAAAGAGCAAACTACGCAGGACAGCAGCACTGCAAAGAGAAGGCAAACTTGACATAAACCCTATAGCAGCCCGTCTGGCCAGCGTAGTATAGTAGACCAAAACCTCCTTTCTAAGGAGAGGCCTATTCCCAGCAGTGGACTTTTAAAGGCTGTTGATGATGACGATGATGATGAGTCAATAATTTGTGAAAGAAAGAATTTGTTAACCTAAATTAAATTTAACCTAAAATAAATTAAATTTGATAAGTATCAAATTTAATTTATTTTGCCGAGATATATAAGAATATTTGAAGATAAGATTGATAGATAGAAGAGATAATATAAGATTTTCAAATTTTCTTATTTTTTAAATTTGCAAATCTATTAAAAAAATTGTATTTATAAGTGCAAAGCATAACTTTCGAGGAAGGAGTGGGCAAGGAAAGGATGACTAGCTATAACTATTATTTTGTTGAATATTTTTATTTAACAGTAGATACGAATCGATCCACGTCTTTTTTTTAAAGTTATACTTATACTTTCATCATTAATATCATGGTGAAATGATTTTAATAATTTGATACTTAATACGAGCGATATAATATTTTGCTCACAAGTAGCACAATATGCATTAACATTGTTTGCTATGATAAAAAAAAAAATTGAACATTCAGACATAAGACTGTGAAAAAATTACATTCGTGATTGTTTTATAGTTCCTTATATTTGTAATTGTTGAAAAGTAAAATTCGGAATAGCAGCTACGTTATAGCTCAAATCAAAAATTGTTTACAGGACCTACATACAGGTACATTACGTATCTACTCTAAATCTCAGCATAGGCAGGTATACTAAGTACGTTTCATGTTCTAGATTTATTACAATAATATTAGGTATATAATTCAGAGAAAGAACTATGTGTTTCTGTTAGTATGCATATATCTATTCAATACAACCATTCATGTGAATCTAGTAGAACATCTGATACTATGATACTGATACTATAGGTATATGCATTTTTTATTAAATAAAAATAACTGCCGCACTAGGAATACCCACGACTGCACGGATGCCGTCACGGTCGCCACGCCACTTCCTACTACGCCGAGTGTTGTGGGTTCAAACCCCACATGGGACGACATTTTGAGTGATCCACAAATTGTTGTTCTCAGTCTGGGTGTTCTTTGTGTCCGTTTCATGTATGTTTGTAAAGTCCCCTGCGATACAGGATATATTCGTAATGCGGGAGTTATCTTTTTAAAAGACTTTTTTATTTGTATATCCCTTGTCGCCACTATAGATGTAAAACAACAGATTTTAAAAGTTTTAAATAAAATTTTGTCATTTTGAACCCCAAAGAAATCGTTTTAAACGGTTGAAAACTCGCATACAAAAATTAAATTACTGTGTTTTACACTTCATTGTGTCCAATTTTTGATCACCTGACGTCATGTTTCGTTTTAGTTGGTTTATATTTGACTGCACGGATGGCGTAGTGCTTTAAGCGGTCGCCACACCACTCACTACTACGCTGAGTGTTGTGGGTCCAATCCCCACATGAGACGACATTTCGTGTGATCCACAAATTGTTGTTCTGAGTCTGGGTGTTCTTTGTGTTCGTTTTGTGTATGTTTGTACAGTCCCCGCGACACAGGATACATTCGTAATGTGGGAGTTGTGTTTTAAAAACAACAATTAAAAACAATATTACACACACTAGATTAGAAAATATCATTAACACAATGCCGTAGGTTTCACTTGCGCGTCGTCAACGAGAGTACGGGAGAGTGATTTTCGGTTTAGGTAAATCGAATGAAATTGATTATTTATATCGTTTGAAAACAATAAAAAAATGTTTTTTTATTAATACAGAGTTTTTAACTTATCAATAGTTTTTATAACTTAGGTAGGTAAATACTTGCGCTTGGTCGGACGGACTTACCAGAACTAAACCCGCTAAGTATATCAGTAACAGTTTATAGGTACTCCGTCATATCCCTGCCTCGTTAAAATCAAGAATGTAGTTATAATTAAGAAAAACATGGTCATCAGCACCAACCGTTTTAAATCAAAAAAATGGTTGATCCGAAATGAACCATTTTTTTTCGATTTAAAAGGTTTTTTTTTCGTTTTAAACGGATTGTTTTAATTGGTTTAAAACCGGTCTTACATCTATAGTTGCGGTGAACTTTGCAGACATACATGAAACGGACACAAAGGAAACGCAGTCTCAGAACAACAATTTGTGGATCGCACAGTGTTGTCCCATGTGGGTGTGTGCGAGGTGACCGCTGCTTAAATCACTACGCCATCCGTGAAATCTTTCCGTTTCCTTTACTTACGCAACTGATTATTTTACAATTCACGAAATCGGTCCTACAGATTGCAGAATAGATATCACACATTTTAAACTTACGCCTCTTTAAGCAATTTTTTATAATTTTATTACAACTAAGAATTATGACCAGTTACGACAGGATGACAAATATGCTCCACATAACATAATTCGAAGCAACCAAATAGTTTTCATAATTGGTACATCTAATTTACATGATTGTTATGTTTCAGAAAAGTGGTCAACATGAACGCCCTGGCCTGGCTCGTATTATTAGCTTTGCCAGCTCTTATTCTGGCAAGCATAAGTATAGACATAATTGCTTCCGAAGACAAATCTGAACCGCAAGTTCACATATCCGGCAGCGAGGTGAACGTAATCAGCGATATAGAAATAGAATCATTTAAACTCTACGACAATGAATTGAAAAGAGCTGTCAACGCTGACTTCGGTGCAACACCTAACGATGTGTTCTTAAAGAGTCCCACTCCATGGAATGATTTGTACAAAAAATACGGCTGGACACAAGTGACTAGAATCTTTAAACCTATTCGAGCGAAGATCTTATCAGTCAAATATAACGATAAATTAGTATCGACTCAAGTGTTTAGGAACCCGAGCACCAAAGTCGCTACTTACCGGGCCCTAATTCGTCATGACGTTGAAGACACAATTGCGTCGATATGGGAGACAAATGAGCAACTTTCGACTGATTTTAACATATCTTACGGTACGGTAATAGGTAAAGCTAGTGTGTCTTATACGTCGAGATGGGGAGAAAATGTGATGAAATCCCAAACGGTTACGGTTGGATACGAAACTGGGATAGTAATTACTTTACAGCCAAACCAAAATGTTCAAGCGGAGTTGTACGCGACAAGGGGAGCGATAACAGTACAAATAGATTATGAAGCGACTCTGGATGGGTACGTTGCAGTAAACTATGCCGCAGCCTATAGGAGACACCATTTCTATGGACTTGACATAAATGAAGTATTAAGTGCTGGTAACATGAAAAGATCGCTGTTTTCCTCTGAGAATATAACGCTGAGTTATTATTTGGATTCTGAGGTTGTACTCCATGATTACGATACCAATGATATTCTTTATTTTCCTAATCTCGTTTGAAATCCGTTTTTCATCTTTATATTTTTGATTTTTTTCCCTTTCATAATTACAATTATAATTATAAATACTGGTTACTCTTCTCCTGGCTCACGTTTTACAAATAAAGAATTGTGAATTAATTAAATGCATGTTATTCTATGTCTACGTCGTATGATTCTGACTATTCGTCGATAACCAATCTTACGATGTTACAAATTAAGGAAAAATTGTGAACTGCAAACATCACTTCTAAGTACAGTTTTTGTACATATTTTAATAATAAATGACATGTATCATAAAAAGGTACCCCGTTAGTAAATGACTACCGTCGCCTTTGGTCACCTCGGGAGAGGGAACAGTGTGGGAGTTGATCTTCCGGTATCTTTACTCACTCAGTGAAATTCAAAGAAATAATATATCGGTTTTCAGTGAGTTACTTATCTACTGGCGCTACTTTATTATTTATTAAAAAAAAGTAAGTAAAGTTAGACTTGCATGTTATATTATATCTATTTTATTATTTAATTAAATATACATTTAACATTAACAACGCTTATTCATCTATTCTCGTCTATTCCGTAGTTTTTCTTCAATCTTTTTCTGTGCCTCAACGGCTTTGTTCAACAACATTTCATCGACAGCCTTCAACTGGAAACAAAAACAAATAACAGACGCGTTTATTTCTAAATGAAACAAGTATCATTCTTTTGTAAACTCGTAAATAAGTGTAAAAGTAGAATTTTTATAAAGACTAATTAGGGACTATTCTTACTGACCCATTCAGGAAGGAGAGGGAAGTCTTAAAAAATCCTCGCGTGGCTACAGGGAGGGAGTGTGGGGGAAGTTTCGGTTTACATTACGTAGCCAATATCATATAGGGCAAGCGCAGTATTTTTTATTTTATTTGAAAATAATAATATTTTAAACAATATTTATGGATTATTACGTGTAGACTAAAGGGGAGAGTCTGGGTACGTACCCTTAACAAGGGTGACATATTTCTAATTTTCTTGTACACATATCAGGCTAAGGTTTTGTATGTGTTAGAAGTGAGTTCTCAAAGTACCTGGGTTTCGAAACCCATCACCGTTTTATAGCAAGTGTGGCCAACTTAGCCATTATACTTGCATTGATTGTAGAGGATTCGATCCCGGGATCCCGGTCATATTGTAGTCCCGAAATTTTCGGGATCAAATTTAATGAATCCCGGGATTTTCGGTATTGATACATTTTTTACATGTCAATAAAAATGTGCGTAAAAAGAAACGCACTTGCCTTGATTTGATGTTTTGACAGCCATCTTGTCTACACAGCTGATTTCATTTGTTTTGCTAATGACCGGTTCTGGATTATGCGTAAAAGTGTGTAATTTATAAAGTTTCTGGGCAGTTGAATTAAAAAATATGAATAGGTATCTATAAACATTGGTCTCTTAAGCATATAGCTTTTTTTTATAGTTTATCTAAATAAGTCTAAAGAAGTTGATTTTTTTAAGTTTATTGTTAGTTTCATAAATTATTTACCGCAACACTAAACAAAATAGGCACTAGTTTGATTATTTTATAAGAAGAAAGTATAATTTTGGTTAACCGCCTTTTTGGAGATTTAAAACTTAAATATTCTGTCCTCACAAAACTAAATGATAAACAAAAAAAATATTTTGATGTTTTACTGTCTTTTTGTTACCACTTTCCATTTCCAATACAATCCCGGGACTATCCCGGGATCCCGAGATTAACTGTAGATAATCCCGAAATACCGGGATTATAAAAATCGACCGGGATCGAATCCTCTAATTGATTGTCATTAGAAGGCAAAGAAAATAATTTTGGTAACATAAAAATACTAAAATCTCAGACAAAATACCTCACTACAAAAACTATTGTCAATAATAGTAAGCTCCTCCATTCCTTTCGCTTTCTCTGTCTCGTATTGGAAAGTAGCTTCCTTTATATTTTCTGTCCGCTGGAGAGCCTTCTTAGTTTGTTCTTGCATCTTTTTCTCTTTTTCTTCTGCTTCGCGAAGAGCACTGTGGAATAGTGAATTTATTTCTCTTATTTATGTAGATAAACATGTAGGTAAGTACAGTTAGTTGTGTATATAATCTATATATCTATCTAATACCTTTAAACGAGTAATTCTTGTATAAATATATAATCTGAATCTCGGAAACGACTCCAACGATTTTTATGAAATTTAGTATGCAGGGGGTTTCGGGGGCTATCAATCGTTCTAGCTAGGTTTCATTTTTAGAAAATTTACCAAAAAAAAATTTGCAAAGCTTGGTTATCCAGGTATTAATAAACTAATAATGTAATAGAAATGTGTGGCGCACAAATTAAGCCCGTCAAATCAAATGAAATCAAAATTGTTCGTCAATTACTTTATATGTATTTTTGAATTAGTAGTAGAAGAGTCTAACACTGGGATCATCGCAGTGGAGTGGGAATTATCTCGCTCGATAACATGATTGCGGCCCTGGTACGAAGCGAGAGCGCGTTGGACTCCGCCTTCTCCTTCTGCGAGCAACTTGAGACGGCGGAACGGGACCGGGAGAGGTTTATAACTCTCCCGGTCCACAGGTTAAATAATAATAGTTTGAGTTTCAATGTATTAGACGAGCCTGTTGGTCTATTGGTTAGTGACTCTGACTGCGAAGACAACTCCCGCATTAGGAATATCCTGTGTCGCGGGGGACTTTACAAACATACATGAAACGGATACAAAGAACACCCAGACTGAGAACAACAATTTGTGGATTACACAAAGTGTTGCCCCATGTGGGGATCGGACCCACAACACTTAGCGTAGTAGTAAGCGGCGTGGCGACCGCTTGAACCACTACGCCATCCGTGCAGTCAGTCAAAGTGTTATTTTGTTGATCTCTTTTCTCACCTATGTACTACAGTTTTCTCCTGCTGTCTCTTCACTTGATTATCGAGTCTAATCTTGGCGGCTTCCGCTCTGAAAAAATGTTAACACAAATTTACTAATATTCTATCAGTTATTTAAAAATGATTCTGTTTATTAATTAAATTATAACAATGTAGGTAATGGAATTTGTATTTGTAACTGTTATCTGTATGGAGACGGATTAAGAATACAGAGTGTCACCAACCCCGTTCATCCTGTAGGTGTCGTAAGAGCCGACAAACTATGCAGGACAACAGCACGGCAAAGAGAAGGAAAACTCGAAACAAACCCAATACCAACCCTTCTGGCCAGCGTGGTATCCAGGTAGGCCAAAACCTCCTTTCTAAGGAGAAGCCTATGTCCAGCAGTGGACTATTAAAGGCTGTTGATGAACTGTTACATTGGTGCATTATGTAAACATAATGTAAACATTACGCAAAAAAATACTCTTGAAATTCTTAGTTTAAATATGTGCTGATGGTATATGGGGGCAAACGAACAAACTAGTCACCTGATGGTAAGTGATTACCGCTGCCCATGAACACCAGAAACTCAAAGAGTCACAAGTGAGTACTCCCCCCCGCCCCCAAGGTTGAGGAGGGGGAGACTCAAAGGGAGTTTGGGCTCCTGTAACCTCACTCACTAGAGGCCGTCGTTATCACTCCGGTCCGAGGAATAGAGGAACGGGTATTATGTCATTCAAATACAAAGGGATCCTTCCTTTCCACCCTCTTTGGCAATTGTCATGATCATGCATGGAATCGACATTGGCAATGATTAATAGTTACTACATGATTCGATATGTCTTCGTCAGATGATATTGTCGTGGATGTCGAAATATTTCAAACGTGTTTCTTATATTTTCACACATGTCATGAAACTATTTAAGCTGTATACTTTTTTATATCATTTTATACATAAATTTTAGTGAAAGAAATAATTACTAATGTTAAGTCACTTGCGCAAAGCGACCCATGTCGATCCTGCATTACATGTTACATAGCAAGGCGACGCATGATGTGGCGACGCGTCGCCACGCTAACAGCCAGTCTGGCCCTCCGCATTAGATGTTTTACATCAAAAAATCAATTACCTGGCGGTCTGAAGCTCCAACAATTGAGCTTGCAACTCGCCCGCTTCTGTATTCAGGACGTCTATTTCACCTTCCTTGCTATCGGACTCTAGGTCACCAGTTTCAAAGTCCCTAAAAAAAGTAAGTGTAAATATAAAGTGGAATTCCGGTTTCCACTAGGATGTTGATAAGCAGACAATAGACTCTGCAGTAATTCGTATGCCATAGTAAAATCAAATAGTATTATTTATTTATTTCCAATACCATAGTATTTTTCTATTAACACAATTCCATAATAATCAAACTAGATTCCCTGTGCAAAACCTGTTTGACGTTGTTTGCTCGGGTATAAAAGTGTTCGCCCGCTCTTTAATATTATATTGTGGTATTCTACACTTTTCTTTTCTTTTTATTCTTATGTGCGGAAATCCCCTCTGATACCACCCACTGGTGGTTATGTCGGACTCGAACCGACCAAAAACCACGAGCCGTTTAGGGTACCAGTTGCCGGGGAACCAGGTGTACCCTAGGTAGGAAAACCCTGATACTGCGGTATTCTACCCTAAACTTAATATTATTAAGTTAATGTTATTATTGCTTATTGGTTTATGTTATTTACTTATTAATTGTCATGTACTAAATTGATTTTGCATGTTGTGGCATACCGCATAAAGCCCAGTGGTTTAAAGTAATGTTTAGTTATGTAAATAATTTAAAAAAAATTGTTACAAATAATGGATTATGTAGTGGGACATACATGTGCCGCGGTTCACAACTCCTTAGAGTTCCCCAAAAGAGGGAACTACTCACTAGTAGTTCCAGAAATAAGTCCTTAAGCGGCCTTAATTTGGGGCGAATCGTATATTTTATTTGAATGGTCAAGATCCAAGTAGCGAGAGGACCGTACAACTATGGCACAAAAATCTTTACCTTAAATTATCAGACAACTTCATAATTTCTTGTAAAAGATTATTAGCAGCATCCAAGTTGGGTTTGATGGTTTGTAGATTCTTCAGACTGGTTTCCTTCTGCATAAGGGTGGCTCGCAATGATTCAAGCTTCTCTTCTGCCTCTTGGACATTTTGTGCTGCCTGTTCTGCTTTGTGTTTGACATCATCAGCATCGTATACCCTTAAAATTTGTAGAAGGTTAATTTCATTATTAATACACTTATACAAGTGTAGATCATTTATTTTTAGCTATTGTACGCCGGCAAAAATAATTTTAATTTTCGAAATATGTAGGTTAAATTTGTACCTGGTACTCTTAGATTGCAACTTTGAAAATGTAATCAAATAGCTGTATTAGACTGTAACAAATAATAAAGAAGTGATTTTCATGGGCTTTTTAGATGATAGACGACTGAATCGAATTCGATCCATTTTATTTTTTGACTAGCTAATAACTAAAAAAGCCTAATAACCTCAAAGCTCTCTTTTTATCTACTTCATCCATTAATTCATCCCTATAACTCTTCTTCTGTTCTAAGACCATCTCTAGTTGTTTGTTCTCTTTTAATATAGCCTCTAACTCTTGTTTTTCTTCATCATGTGACTCCTTCTCTAGCTTTAAGTCTTCCTCAAACTGTTTTATATCATGGTCAAGCTAGAACAAATAGAATTTTATATTATACATGTATAGAAATCGTATATATATAAAAATCTCGTGTCACGATGTATGTTCGGGATAAACTCCGAAACTACTGAAATGATTTTAAAACGATTTTAATTAAAGAATCAACTTAAGATAGAATAGTTTTTATATCAATTTTGACCTCGATGTTTGTTATTGTAAATGAAATGTGTGTTATACGAAAATATATAATTTTAGGCTTTATAACATCACGCTACTGCCAATGGAAGCCAAACATTAATGAAAAATGTTGCAAAATCAGGGCAAATTTACTCCTTTTGGGCGACGCACACAAAGTTGTACGGGTCAGATAGTAAATATATGAAATTAAAATATCTGTGAAAATCACACATAAGCATTTTAAAAGTAATTTTGCAAACTTAGTTTCTTTCATGAAAATGCTTTAAATATTTAATAATACATAATGGTAATTGTTATCACATATATAAAGTTCTGTAAAATAAGTGTTAAAACTAGGTGTGGAGGAACGGGTGTCGTGTCCCTCCAACAAAAAAGGAGAATCCTCCGACCAGGCGGGCCGCGGTTCAGCGGTTGATATTGGGAAGTTCTGTATAATTTGCTTATAGGCGAGAGAATTGTTAATGTCGCAATACAGGGTTAGCAGTTATTCCATAGATCGGTGTAATATCGTTAGATGGCGCTGAAGTATGTTTCTTCGTTTCACCGTATGTGGAAGTCGCCACATAGGCATTCAAGTTGAATATGTAAGTACCTACATTTAAATTACAATTGATTATCAATCAATTTACCAAGTAAAGAATGATCATAAGTTTAGACTACCCCGGGATCTTTGAGCTGCTGCAGTCTCGGTACACTTTCCCTATTAAGACAAACGTTATTTGTATAGGGTAAGTGATATCGTAACGTGTTCTATCTGTACTCTTTACCCCGATTTAGCCTTATTTCTAACTTCCATGTAGGTATGATTACTTTAGGGTGGCGAGAGGAGCCTCCCCGAGCGACGTAATTAAGAGAACAAGAGTCCAGACGTCCGACTACCCCCGACACCTGGCACTCAGTAACGCAGAGTCTAGGTAACAAATCCTCTCAACACGATGGATCAACACAATTCGACCCAACGACACCACCCATTTGCCCTCACCACAGGTGTTACAAAATTAAAAACGGTTTTCGTATCAAGCAAGGTCAAACGCCATTCTCGTCTTCGAGCACTGGGCCGAAACCGGTTAAAGTGTTGACAACCATACAAGATGAAGAAGATTACCTACAGTCCTGAGGAGAGTTAGCGTCTAGCAGAAGGACAGTCGTAAAAACATCAGCTAGACCTTATTGTAACGTTACACATTGCAACAACCCTAAATAAATTTGGAAAAAGCCCAAAAAAAAAAGAACAACGGTTTGGTTGAGTAAGTCATATTAGGCTGAGAATAATAATTTTCTGCTGGAACTAAGAAGTGGGTCAGCTGACGACTTATGCATAAGGCCTAAAATATTAAAATAAGTAAAATCCAACCTTGTCCAATCTTTGTGCGCGTTTAGCTTTCTCTTCTGACTGTTCATTGAGCATTTCCAGTAGTTTGTTCTTCTTTTCTTCTAATGTTTTCACCTGCAATAGAGAATTAAATAGTTCATATTTTATGTAATAAAGTTTATAACAATAAAACATCAGGTACTAACGGCAATTTGATCAGAACGGCCAACTTCTACAACTCATTTTAACCAAAAAATATGAAATAGATTTACATACAGGTTGTGGGCTCCGGTTTCCGCATTTAGACTCAAGAGTAAGAGTACCTATTTACACTATTATTAAAGTTGTGAACAAATAGACCTACTTATTATTATTATAAAACACTTATTAAAATTTAGTCTGTAACCGGTTTTTTAAGATTATTTTTCTAATTTAAAACATGCTTTTCTAAGCTATAAGAGAGCAAATGAACAGACAGGTTAGCCAATGGTAAGGAACTACCTTACCTCCTTTCTAAGGAGGACTTCAAATGAGAACTTGTGTTAATTAACAGGGGTTGATTTTTAGACCTCATTAACCCCAAAATCTGTTTTCGTTTATATTGACCCCTTGGAAATCGATTTAGACCCCAAGGGGTCGACATTGAAAATTTTGGGAATCCCTGATACTATTATATCAGTTCTGCTCCTTTAATAAATATCCATTGATAATACAAACACACAGACATTTTACAAAACACTAACCTGCTCAGTCTTGGCAAACAGTACTTCCTCATGTGGTGCTATATCTCTTAATTGTTCCTCATTAAACACCATCAAATTAAACAGTAGCAGTAGTATGGAATGTGACGTGGTGGCCGTTGGTTGTAAGAAGTGGGTGACACTGATGTTGGCGTCTACTTGAGGCATCACGGTCACCAAATGGTTAATTACTCTTGTCATGTTGATAACCGGAAGAAGGTCAGTGTAGTAAACAGTGTTCTCGGTACGATTTTCTTCTGGTGGGGGCTTAAAAGAAAAAATTAGTTCATAATAATAACTTGAATAAATTTAACACTACCATACGATTACAAAGGCAGAGCCTACTATGGTAACCAAATCATAGTATAGCTCAATTGCCAACAGACAGATCAATATGCCTGTGCAATTTCTAAATCTAGCAATGACAACACTCTAAACATTTTGCAGTTTAATAACCCTTAAAGCATCAATTTGTACTGTAAATTAATCTAAAATCCCTCAGAAATAGGACTTTTAAAATTGGAAAACCTAGAAAATATTCTGGATACTGTTAATTCTAGATAAAAATGACTCATGTAAGATTTGTCTTGTGTCCCTTACTACTTTTGAAACTGTACAGCCGAACTGATCCTGTTCATCAAACAAATATTTGTACTGACTGAGAATCAAACCCTCGACCAGCACTTGTCTAATTTATCATAATTATCAGTATATTGCAATCCACTGTTGGACATAGGCCTCTCCCATATCTCACTCTTCTCTCCTCACTCACTGGAACTGGATGCGAGAAGCGAAAAATCGATCTAAAGTGTCGTGCAATGGGAGAGGCCTATGTCTAATATATATTATGAAAACAAATATCGGAATCATAAACAAACAATGTTTACTTACAGCAAGGATAACATCCCTATCGATGCCAAGTCTATCAAACACTTGGAACAATGCCCCCATTACTGCCTGAGGCTTTTTTAGATCAACAGCAGCCAATGGATAGTTTGGAAAGTCCCCATTCCAGTTGGTTATAAAGCTCTCCACGGTGAATGCTGGTTCTGCAATATAAGACGGTGGAATTTACATAAACTTTAGAATTTATATTATTTATAAACTAAGTCAGTGTTTACTCACGTCTATCCATTGTTTTAAACAAGTTTTAGAGCAATAAAGTTATTCTTCGTAGGAATTACTCTCCAATTATTTTATTATAAAAAACTTGCAAATAAGATCACTGAAAATATATGCTGTAGGTATATTTTAAATCACAGAATAATACAATGTAGCAAGCTTTTTTAAATTCAAATTACATCAACAACAATCAAAACAAACGGTTCAAATTATTACTCATAAATAACGGCTCCTTTGTTTGGTTACAGAGCAAAACTATCTGTTATTCTTATCTCCTTGTGAACCCCTTCCTTTCACAATCTAGTGTAGAGCAGTATGAAAAGTATTCGTCAGCTATGTACATACTACACAATAAAAAGGACATAATTTTTTTTTTAACTTAAAAACATGATTAATTGTGAAATTTGCTCATTTAAATGTAATTACAAAAACAATGACGGACGAGGATATGGACATTTATTCTGTTAAATTTAAGGTATAAAGTGATAAATTATCTTTATCACTTTATACCTTAAATGAAACATATAATTAATTTAGTATATCTCTTATATTTCATCGTTTGGTTTTTATATTCCTTGATATTTGTATTAATGAACCAGTTTTTTTTTAATTCTGTCTTGCCATCTGTGAGATTGATGTTTTGAAAAAGGAAGGCATAGTGTTTCAAGAAGCTGGGGAATCAAATGCTTTTTGATTTGACCAATAACCTTTACTATGAATACCACAAAATACTGTTAAATCTAATAAGAAAAATATACGTACAATGCATAATATTTTAAAAATTAAATTAGAACTTAATGTTACGTAAGGTAAGGGCATCACGCAGTAACCGCGTTGATCAGTGGGCATAAGGTAATATTCTGTTTCGGACAACATGATTTTGAGGACATTGAAATTCCTATTCAAGAAATGTGTATTTTTCTACAAAATGCATTGAAAGTGACAACATCGGCTGTCATTTAATGTCACTTGTCATTAATTGTCAATTTTGTACATTCAAAATTTGTGAAAATGGCGTTCAGCTTCCCAGCTTTTTCTTATATTATAGCGTTAATTGTCGACGCCTTCCTAATATTTTTTTCAATATTCCATGTAATTGCATTCGATGAACTTAAAACTGACTATAAAAATCCAATAGATCAGTGTAATAGTTTAAACCCGGTAAGTATTTGGCATGTTTGAGGTCTAGCCAAAGTTCACGGGATTATATCTAAATAACCTATTTTTTTTATTTTAGTTGGTGTTACCCGAATACCTGCTGCATTTATTGATAAACTTATTGTTTTTACTATCGGGAGAATGGTTTTCGCTTCTGATAAACATTCCATTGATCTTGTATCACATTCACAGGTAACAAATGACATATACTTAGGTTATGTTATGAATATTAAGACATAAGATTAACGTAGTCGAAGGACAATATCTCGGATAAATGACGCCTTAAAATTTTAAAATTACTTTGAATATAAATAATATAAATTAGGAAAGTAACATTGCCTAACAGAGTGAACAAAGGAATTTACTATACTGTGTCATTGAATATTGACCCACAGGTCAATAAACTTTTTGTTCTAAAAATTGCTTTATATGACTGGGAAATTGCATAAAACCAACGATTTCACTATACATTTTTGTTATATGTAAAACAGATATGTTAAAGAAATTAAAGACCACAGCAGAATAGCATGACTCCTCTTATCTATATATTTATTATACCCATAGACAAATTACTCATTATCATTTTCATTATCATTATTTGTTTTTAATTGTAGGTTGTAACTATGGAAATTAATTCTGATTTAAATAAAATGCTAGGGAATCTCTTGTATATAAACTTATAGATTTCTCTGCCTTTTTCTTTTCATGTATTTTTTATTTTATCAAAGCATTGTATGAACCTCTTGTCTTTTATTCCAGGTACTACACAAGGCCAGTTATGTCTGGCCCTGGTCTATATGATCCAACTAGCATCATGAATGCTGATGTGTTAACAGTCTGTCAAAGAGAGGGTTGGATCAAACTGGCATTTTACTTATTGTCATTCTTTTTGTATCTATATGGGTAAGTATTTTTCTAATGAGTCAATTAATATGGTCTTCTGATCTCATACCATAGAGCCTATACTACAGTAAAAAAAACTGTGTATAGACAATAATATAATAATAAGTTATGTATCACGAAATACACATTGATTATCTGAAAATTACATCCAGATACAACAAATGATTGTGTCCATCACACGAAATCGAATCCACAACTTTAGCAGAGATAGCAGTCACAATCCCTAGCCATAAGACAAACAGGAATATCATTTTGAATTTGAAAGAAGAACCCATTTCCACAACAAGTCCAAAAACCTAAGTAGAATAAATGAAACAATATTAACCAGTGAATCTAAAACATCTATGAAATAGTTATGAAATCTGTAAAATTTCAATCATTTTATGTCCAAGATCATATTTTAACTTATTAATTTCAACAATTATAATATTTTGCAAGTTTGTTGAACCTTGTAGTTGTGAAATGTATATGACATAGATAATACACTGTATAAGCCTTTTCTTTAAGATCATCTACATGATCGTTCATTAGAACAATTAACTAAAAAACAAGTAAATTAACTGAATGACAGATGTGACAGCCAATTTATGTATTAACATGTGAAGATAATTATTTTTGGTCTTTTTAAACAAAAATGGTGCACATCATATTTGAGATACTCAATGTTTATTGTCATGATTATACAAAAATGTATAAAATGATAGCTCAAATAATATCAACTAGTCAATGAAACTAAACTAAACATTCAAAACTTCTGACTGTCAGCCGATTTCTAGTCATTATAATTGTAAATATTATTAAAATGAGTGCAAGTCATCATGACTCATATAAAAGAAATCAATTTAAAAGTAGAATTTAAAATTGACCTTAGAGATTTGTTTTGTTTTATTAGAACATGTTTTTATACACGAACAATACACGAACTAAGCATTTCTAATCTGCAAGTTAATAGGTATGCTTAGTAAACATTTAAATAATGCTAATAGCACACTAGGGACATTCTATACATTTATAATAATATTTTCCTTCTACTTCAACTAATGAGATACACAAACGCTTATGTGTGCGTGTGTGTCTAAATCTTTGTAGACTTGGTACATTTAGACTTTTTAAATGTATCAACCATATGTAATAACTATGGGACTGTTGGTCTAGTAGGTGGTGGTCTTAATTGCTGAACCAGAGGCCATGGCTGTGATACCAATGTGATCAGCTTGATTGTCTGTTCTTCATCTGAGTGTAATTAATCTACTTGATAAGTTATTATAAACGAGATATTGACTATGTTGATTTTCGGGAAATAGTTTTCAATATTCGGCACTGTTGCAATTTATTTAGTAATATGAAATGTTTATGATCTTACCATAGCATAGGCTCTGCAGTATACAGGCTATTAATTTATTAACGTCTCTCAAAAAGCTCGCCTCTTAGTACTTGCCAGAAATGTATTAACTCCTGCAAATTTTTCTGACTATAAATTTTAAAGTCTATTGTAGTATTTACTTTATAATATAAAAACATATATATTTATTTATTTGACCAATATTATGTTACAGTGTAGGACAGTTTTTATTGAAAATAGATCGTAAACAGTAATTTCGTTAATACTTAGTTTTACATAGTGTTACTAGTGTAAAACTAAGGCAAAACTACTCTCAGTGGACTGTAATAGGTTTGCCCTCATTGCGGGCACTGTCCATTGAGAACTTAGTACAGTAATATTGGCTAATAATTAAAGTAAAAGTAACGGTAGGAAAGGGATTGCGCTTATACGCTTGCATTTGGGAGTGTAAGCAAGATCTCAAGCAGAGATTTTTTGGGAAAATACAACTCCCGCATTTGGAAATAATCCTGTGGCGCGGGGGACTTTACAAACATACCTGAAACGGATACAAAGAACACACAGATTCATAACCACAGTTTGCGGATCACACAAAGTGTCGTCCCATGTGAGGATGGGACCCACAATATTCAGCGTAGTAGTGAGCGGCGTGGCGACCGCTTAAACCACTACGCTATCCGTGCACTTAAGGGAATGTGGTCAAAGAGAAGGAAAACTTGACACAAACCCTACAACCCGTCTGGCCAGCGTGGTATAGTAGGCCAAAACCTCCTTTCTAAGGATAGGCCTATGTCTAGCAGTGGACTATTAAAGGCTGTTGATAATGTTTTTTTTTTTTAACGATTAAAATTAATATGTCACCGTATTTATCTGCGTTTATATTCTAAATTTTCTTTTATTTTGTTCCAGAATGATCGTTGTGTTGATCGCAGCATGAAAAAAGCATCGAATACTTTATTTGTTTCCAATAAGTCATAATTTATTTGTTAGTGCCCTTTGTGGTCGTATTGTGTCCGAAGTGTCCGAAGAACAAGGAATGTTGTATAGTCGATACAGTGTTTTGATAATAAAAACAATAATTGCTTATGTTATGTTTCATTTAACAACTGCTCTGCGTAAACCCTATCTCCCATTAGCTGTCCTCGATGTAGGGCCTTTTTTTTTTTTTTTTTTTTTTTTTTTTTTTTGTTGACGGGGTGGAAAATCCCTTCGGATCTCCTGCTCCTCGGGGCTAGGAGCTAGGAGTATGTGGTGATTCCACTAAAAACCACCCCGACGGCCGGCCTCAGGTGTCCTACTCTGGGAGGACCCGGACCATGTTATTTCAGGTCCTCCCCGAATTGACACCATGCCTAGTCAGGCCCTATCCCAGGGGAAAATCACTTCCCCCCTCAATCGCGACGTGGCGGCCCAATTTCGTCTTAATGAAATCAGGCCGCCATCCTATCCCCTACCGCAACATTCAATCAGCGACCAGAGGTCCCCACTCTCTGGCGGCCCGCGGCCCCGTCGGCGGCTGGTATGGTCGCCGACGTCCTCTACGCTCAGGATCGGCCCTCTCCCGATCCCGTTCAGCGGTCTCTTTCTGGAGCATTACAGCTTCACAGAAAGAGACCACTGCGCCCCATCCCTCCTCACCCGCCAGCATGGCAGCAATGATTGCTGGCGGGGACAGGTCTCTTCCGATTTGGCCGACCAGGACTTCGCGTTCAGACGCCCACGCGGGGCAGTCTTCCAGCGTGTGCTGGGCGGAGTCCCAGTCGGCTGCGCAGTGCTGGCATTGTGCCGTCTCCTCGCGTCCGATACGATTCAGGTACTCACCGAAGCAACCATGCCCAGTGAGTACCTGCGTCAGTCGATAGGTGACGCGACCTCCCTCCCTACCTACCCAGGCTTCGAGGTTAGGCAGAACAGCGCTGACAGCGCGTTGGCGTGCATTCTGTGGCTGTTCCAGCCGCACGCGCCACTGCACCAGTGCATGTTGGTGAGCGTTCCGCCGCATTTCGAGCGCGTCCTGGCCTTCCCCGCTCTCACCCCAGCGGATCGCGCGAGTCTGGTCATAGACCCTCGCATCCATATCCGCCAGGATATCAAAGGGCGGGAAACGTGCCAGGACTGTCGCCGCCTCCGACGAAATAGTGCGGTACCCTCGTACGATCCGAATGGCCGCTATCCGCTGCGCTTGATTGAGCTTAGCTCGGCAGCGGGAGGAGGCCGATAGGCGCTTGGCCCATATCGGCGCTCCGTAGAGGGCCATGGATCGTATCACCGCACAATAGAGGCGGCGAACTTCCTCCCGCGGACCCCCTAGGTTAGGCAACAGCCTCTGTAGGGAGCCCGCCACCCCACGAACTCGGGGGATCATCCGCTCGAATCGATGTAGGGCCTAAGTCATTCATCAAACAAGAAAAAAATAATTTGGAAGTCAATTCGAAATTGGAATTCAATATGAGTAACAAAAACAAAGTAAAATGAAAAGAAAGTGAAATGTCTCTATGGTTATCTCAAGATTAATGTAATAGGCGACACTGGTTTCTGTAGAAGTTAACAGAGCAAAATAAAATAAATTAGTTAATTCAAACTGACGACTGGATGGCGTAGTGGTTTGTGTAACGGACTGCTATTCCAAAGGTCTCGGGTTCGATTCCCGCTCAAGTCAAACATTTGTGAGCATGAACATTTGATGTTTGATTTGGTCTGGGTGTTTCTATGTATATTATGTATGTATTTACAAAAAAAAAGTATATATGTATTTATATCAGTTGTCTAGTACCCATAGTACAAGCTCTGCTTAGTTTGGGACTAGATGGCGTTGTGTGTATGTGGTAGAATATATTATATTATATATATATATATATATATATATTATATTATATATATATATTATATATAAACACAAAAATATAATAAGGTGGATTGGCTTTAATGCTCGCCTAGGATATCCTGATACAGGTATGGTTGTGGGTTTTCGCTTAATTGTGACGCATCTTAATATTTCATATTATTCTACCAATACATTTCATTATACTGACAGTTGTGAACAATGTGCTGGAAGTGAAAAATCACCAAAATGCAGCAACTTCGTTTTTTAGGACCATGAACTCCAAATTTAGAGCATCGACCACAAAAAATTTGGAAACTGCTAATTTCAAATTAAAAACAAAACGTCACTAAAGTCGACAAAAGTTCATTGACATAGACTACTTTCTATACCTAGTTAATAATGAGATCATGTTTTATGCTTTTTAATATGCTTCTATTGGACATGTAACTTTCTTATACTACGGAATGAAAATAAAAGTAAAACAGTGCTCTTAAAAACTTATCCGTTTTGGGTCCATAATAAAAACTAAGTCATTCATTGACCAAGTATCTAGTTTCATACTATCACTACTATAATATAGTTTATAGATTATTCTGTTATTTGTGCTATTAACTAAAACAATTATCCAATATAAAACACTTAAATTGTTCAATCATATCGATAATTAAAAATAGAATGAACTCACCAATTTTTTGCCCAAAACAGACGAAAAACAGTTTTTTATTCTAGGTACTTATTTGTACATTTATGACCTTATCAACAGCATCGGTTTAAAAAGTTATCCCCTTCCATTTCTTTAAGATATAAAATTTTGTTTACCGAAACATTTTTTCTCAAAACAAATGTTTGTGTTCAATACGAAGATACGGATTATGGACAAGTACAACGTTCTATTAATTATGTGTATGCACAAATAACCCCCTTAAGAGGCAATCTGTGTGTGTATGTTTCGGGGATTAAGGCATCCCACCTGATGATCAGAACAGAAACAATTCAGTTCGCAAATTGAGTGTAGCCAGCATTTATTTTATGACGAGGGTCACTGGTCAGTAAATATTTTCTTCAATAATATTATTAAGAAAAGATACTTATCATCATTAGCCTATCGCAGTCCACTGCTGGACATAGGCCTCTACCATTCCATTTTCTATTATTAAGAAAAGATACTTATTGCAATAATAAAATATAGTTCGATTATAGCAAACGATTGAAGATTCTGATTGCATCTATTTAAAAATTGACTCTCATAGTTTTTCAGTCAGTCAGTAAGTTTAAGGATCAACGATTAAAAAGGATGAGTCCAAAATATTGTCACGTAGGTAGGTATGTATACTCTATGCGCTTCAGGTAAACACAAAAATTCGTACTTAGTACTACTTGATTATTACGTATTTCGGTATTTTTTAAATAATTATAATATTCTGTTAACGATAAATGCATCCAGATTGGACCTTGCCCCACCGTGGCTACGCCCTCGGTCTACAAATTGGTCTAAATAAATAATACCAATCAACTGTCGTCGTAAAAATTACGAACCTAATTGTGTTAATAAAAGAATTTACAATTATTGTAATCTACCCCGTTTGTGGATCCATCCACCATCTCTGGACAACACGGTTCAATTATGTTCACAATACTCGTAAATCGTTAATAAAGAATCAACATTAAGTGATGGAGCAACAAGAGAAAGTTTAGTAGTTACTCATAAAATGTCACCTGACTACTATGATAAATCAGGTTACAGAGATTTAATAAATAATATGTGTCGGGCTCGTAACCTACCGAAACCAATACGTATGTTTGTATGTACGTTATTTGTCTAGCTAGTCTAAACGGTTTGACGGATTTCTGCTTGGAAGATGTCGTTAGATTCGTCTTAATTGCGAGAGTGAGAGTTAGTATTAATTGTAACATTTAAAAATCAGAAAAATACCTGTTTGTAAATTTTAAGTAGGTACATATTAGTAATTTAGTATAATTTAGTATTTCATTTTTAGCTTAGGTATCCATAAAATCAATATTATTCCGTAAATTTTCGAGCAATTGTTGATTAACAGATTAGTAGTTTGTATCTTCGGTGTTTTTGATGTTAAAAAATATTCATTATTTGTTCTTGACCCCAAAACCATACTATAAAAATATATCTGCACTTATTTAGCACAAGACTGACTGGCCAGACCACCTACGCTGCACAAATATTGTGTGATGAGCATGATCATATTTTATTGTGTCTGGGTTCATTCATTTATCAGTTATGTTCATGTATTTAGAAATATATAGGCATGTTTATTTAGAAATAACGGTTGACGGCAATGAGAAAACATGAAAATGAGAATAGGTACGTCTCTGTCTAATACCCCTTTGGGGATTAGATAAGGCGTGAGTGTATGTGATGAAAAGCTTTTTTAATATATATCACTTCATTGAAATGTTTTTCACTAGATTTCGCGAAAACATGTTTTTCAACCATGCATGCATATACCTACCTATGCAAAATTTCGTAATTTTCGGTTCAGTATTTAAGACTTAAAAACATAACAGAGAAACTCCCTTGTGCATTTATCTTTACATAGTATAAAATAAAGTAGATTTTTTGTTTTATGCTTAGATCTTTTAAACCAAGCAACGGATTTTAATGCTGTTTTCACCAATAGAGAGAGTGATTCAAGAGGGAGGTTTATATGTATAAAATATGCATATTATTATAGTAGAAAATAGTAGACTAGTATATCTCAAAAAGATGTATAAAAAAAGTCCGCGATGGTATATGTCTATCTCCTAAGGATAACCCACAGTAACCATTTTTATCTTTTAAAATGTTACAAAAAAATAATGGGTTATTTACGAAGCTATTTTAAACAATACATTATTATTGCTTATACAATTAAATACGTTAGATACATTGTGCATTTAATGAAGATTATAATTGCTCTTCACAGCATATCATTAAAATTAATATTTTAGAAGATATTAGAGATTGAAAATGCGGGAGCAAAGCTACCGTCGCTGCTTCGGGCCGTACGTCTGTCTCGGGTGGCAGGGGCCGGCAGAATCGTAGCAGGCCTATAAATAAGGTAGTATAGTGCTATCATAATAATAGTATAATTAATTAC